ATACTTTAGATATAGGGTAATTTTGTGAACGTTTAAGAAAATTTTACCAACAACTACCATTATAATGACTACTTGGAGAACAACTAACTACCATTTATTTATTTTTTTGTGAAAAAAAAATCTAAAAAAAATCTTCCACAAAAACCTTGAGAAACACAACTACATTTAATTTCTTGGCAATAATCTCCAATTCAGGGAGCTAAAAAATCAGCCGTTTCAACAACGAGGGAAGGGAGGAGGGGCGGTTTCATCGACTTGAGAAGGGATGGGCTATTTTGGGGATGGGGGAAGGGGGGTGGTTTCGATGGTGTAGGTGGGTCTCCCGAGTGTTTTTAGGGGTAGGGAAGGGCCGACCGGCTGTTATCGGTTCCTAGGGGAGGCGGGTGGCCGAATTTCGGTCGGGCTGGGGGTTGGGCTAAGGGGAGGAAGGATGGTGGCTGGCTGGCTGGGAAGGGTTTTTAATTTATTTATTTTTTCTTTTTTTACAAAAAAAATTTGGACCAATTATGTTGAGACACATTACATATGGCTTTTACAAAATAAAAATCACCCTTTCTTTAAGTTACCGGTAAATCGACCTAGTGGAAGAAAATCAACCCAAAAGTTCATAGTGCTCCCTAATAAATGTAAGTTGGGATTATTGAGAGTAAATCGCTGAAAGTTCGGATTAATAAATTAAAGTGAATTTTTCTAATGAATAAAGCTTAGATTTTGGAAGCACCCAATATAATAGATCGAAAAGCGAAGACAAGTCGAATTCAGGGTTAATTAGAGGATGAAATGGAGTCGTTTGACTCTTGGAATTGCCCTTTTTAATCTCTTTAGTTTTAATAAAAATGTGTTCCTTTAATGAAAATGGTGTTACTTATGTTTGTTGGGAGATGTAGCAAAATTTCAATTTCAGATTTACATAAACCCGTAGTAGGTGTTGTTAAACCCATTTGCATGTGATATCGGTAAAAGTCATTACAACATTATGACCTTGTATGAGAATATATACTCTCTCTGTCCCACAATATAGTTTCTGTTTTTCTATTTTAGAGACCCAAAATGTTGTTCTTGTTTCTATTTTTGAATAGTATGTAAAGACCATTATACCCTATTTTTTACTTTATTCATTGAACTTTATAATTTACTCTTAACTTATCCACTTGCATTGTACTTTTTTCACTTTCTCTCTCTAACTTTTGTCTATAATTGTACTTTTCACATTTTTCTCCTTAAATTATCCACTTGCCTTGTACTTTTGTCTAGTTTTTTTTCCACTTCTCCTCCCATTTCTTAAATACCATGAAAAAAATATAATAGGAACTATATTACGGGACGGAGGGAGTATAAGATATGGTTTTGTCAGATCACAAAGAAATGTGATTGACATGTATGAAACATAGATCTCAAGAGGATTTTATCCATTTGAATTATTGGGGTCTCTTAGGGTAAGACATACTAATTTAGGGTTGTCTCCGTCATTTCAGCAACATTCATAGACTTTTAATTGTATGTTAGCAAATACCTTGCACAACACGAAACATTATCACCAACTTCCCTCGTTCTATCAATAGTTCCATCGCATGTTTAAATGTACATTGGTAAGCCTTATATGTGTTGTCCTCACTCGTTGTAATAGCTAAAAGGTAAATTTCGTTAATGACCTTAATTGATATTGTGTAAGGGCTTCTTATGCCAATAGTAACTTATGTTACTTACTGTACTTTTGTTTGTTGTAAACTCAATTTAATTAATGTAATTTCAGCTGTTTTTTATTTTTTTTAAAAAAAAATCTTAAAAACTTACAAAGAATTGATACAAGTTTTGATGTATGGAAATATTTAAAAATATTTAAAAACTTGTTTACATAAAACCTTTATAAAACCCACCTGTCTTACAATTAGACGATCATATAAAGACTCATCCCATTTATTTATCAGACGGATCTAACCCATATTATAACTACGGCGGGTCATGGCTTTTTAAGGCCTCCATTCCTATTTCCTACCTCTCTGAGTTATTTCATTGAAGTGCACTCAACGTTGAATCTAATTCTTGTATCCCCCATTGAAGCAGCTTCTAAGGTAAGTTGTTTGTTGTTGTTATCATCGTATCAAAATCACAATCTAGGGTTTATATTATGTATTTTTCGAGATAATTCAATATGAAATCAAAGCTCAGGGACGGGCCTGTTCTGAATGCACCTGCACAGGAAAATCTAGTTTGCTGTGTACCAGACCAATTGGTTGTATTAAATAACAAGCAATTCCATCATGAGATAGGAGTTTAAAGGCCTCTTTTTTTTATGAGACTTACAGCTCCTGTAAGCTACTTAGATAATAAGAGGGTAAAGATCCCTTGAGTCTGTTGTTCTCTAAATGCCTGCCCACGGAAGAAAAGTGTTGCCAGAAATCTTATCAATACTATGCATGTTTGAGCTGTAGCTTACACAATTTTGAAGTTGAGGAGGTTACTGATATCAGGGATGGGTCCAGTGAGAGAGTTACCATCCAACCACCTGACATATTATATTAGAAATACAATGAATAGCTGCTGAAAATATGTATAAGTTCAATTAGTCCATGAATCTTTAGTCAATTAGTCCATGTCAGATTTCTCTGTGATAAATGTCTGCATGGAAAACCAGGAGAAATCTTTAGTACTAATTTCCAATATGTAAGGATCTCTGTATTCTTTTCTTGACAAACAATTTGATCATGGTGCTTGCTTTCTTATGGTGCTTTTCACCCACATTCAAATCTTGAATTGGTCCATGCATATATATAGAGCAGTTTGTTTTTTAGTTGACATTGCAGACTGCTCACCCTTGGAAGTAATAAGTATGAAGTATACAGTTTCTCTACTAAACTGAATGCAAGTAGCTCTAACTCTTAACAATCTTACTCTAAACTAATAAGTTGACAATACAAAAGCTCTAGCATTGCCTGGAAAATCCTTCTCCTTTCCTTTGTGCCTATTGTATTTTCCTGTCATCTGTTGGAAAATCCCTTCTCTTTTTGTAGGGCTCTCATTCATCATTTGGGTTCTGAATATCTACTGTTATTCCATGATTCATAATTCCATTGTCTGAAATCCATGCTAACCCTGTTTTTTTTTGTCAGTGTAATCACCGTCTCCTCCACAATCTGTACTGGTAAACTCTGCATATAATCATATGAAAAAATTATGAATAAACTAGCTTTGAAGGTTGAAAACATGTTAAAATTCAAATTCAAATTGAATCTAAGTTAATAATGTACTACTATTACATACCTGCTACTTGGGAGACTATACATGGTAAAGAGAGAAGAAGTAAAGCTCTTTGTTTCAATTCCAAGGCAGTAGCAAAGTAACTTAATTCTATTTTACTGATTTCAAGTCCTTACCAGCGGATTACTGTGAAGGGAAGAAACAAGGAGTCATATGCTTAGGTGATTCATCCTTAGTTTAACATAGAACCCCAAGCATACATAGCAAACCTAGAAGAACAGCCGGTTGTAGGGGAATGAAGACAAAAACAAATAAGAGCCCACCCAAAGTATCTGAAATTTGATACACTTTTGTGCTAGCTATAGTGTCAGTAGAAGACAAATTGTATTTAAGTGGGAGGCTAATCACTTTTGTAATAGAGTATTTTACTCCATAATACAACCTCCGTTTTCTTTTACTTGCAACACAACCTGTAGGCACGCAGTTATAAGCAGCGATTAGAGAAGGTATATGAACGTTAAAGGTTAGGTACCATGTGTAAAAATTCTTTTGAATAATTTTAACATTTACATTATATAATCTCGACCTCAAAGTGCGTGCCACAAGGTTGTGTTGCTAGTATTTAAAAACAAAGAAAGTATATAAAGCGGGGTAATAGGGTAGCCGTTATGTTTTTGGAGAATTAAACCTTGACGTGAGATTTATAGCTTCAGAGAGACCAATAGCCTCAAGTAGGGGTGTTCAAATTCAGGTACCCGAAAAGGCAAGTACCCGAATCTTCGTGTAGTTAGAAACTCGGCCCGTGTCTTGAACCGAGACAACCGGGTACCCTGGTTTCGGGTACCCGATTTTCTCGGGTTGGGTCATAAGGTACCCGAAAAAATTAAAATCATTTCAATGCAGTATTTTTGGAGAAATTATATAATTTTTTTTTTTATTATATGATTAGTTAGGATTATGTATTGTATTAATAAATTTTTAGTCGAGAACAAAATTTGTTTGAAAATTTTTGCAAAACTTTGGGCACCGAGTAGAAAATAATTTTATCGTATACATTTAGATGTGTTACTAAAATATAACTCTATCATTTTTTAATGAGATGATAACATGTGTTATTTTTATTCACATTTAATATATAGTTATAAATCTAATATATTATATATATATATATATATAAAGTTGGCATTTTTCAAGAGCATTCGGCACGCCACATAAGCAAAGGTATATTTTCGACCAATTAAAAATTAGATTTCTATTTTATTTTGGAATTAAAAAATTCGTTTACCACCTAAACAAAAGTGACGAATGAGATTTAAGAATTTTGCCACGTAAGTAAAAACAACGAATATTGATTTACTAGGATTTAATTTATTTAAAAAATATATATTATCTTTTAAAATAATCATCTTTAGATATAAGATTTATATACCTACTATTATATGATAAATTTTGATAGTGTTTATGATAAGAAATAAAAATTATTCCTTAATTATAATTAAATTAGAAATTAGAAATTCTCTATGTAATGCTTTCGATTCTCATTTGAATCAGAATAAAATATGGAGTAAAATACTAATAAAAAAAATCTTCCTAACAAGCGCACTGGAGACTTAAATAACTAATTAATATATTACATAAAATAATATTAAGTTCAAAATGTATTACAAAATCACATATCGATCGGTGTAATTAATGTTAATATTTCCACGTTTAGTTTCCTTATTTATCCAATGTTACAGGGGGCATTTATTAGCTTTTGTCATTAAAAAAATATTGCGGACTTAAAATTTAAGATGAGTAGCCCATAACCACAATTTTGGGCTCATTGAAACGTTGAACGAACCTCATTTCCCTCCTAAATTTTCTCTCTCTTCCAAACTTTTTCACTCCTTTGAAATTCAATTCGAAGAGAGAGAAACAAAGAGGAGGAGAAAGAGAGAGATTAACAATGGAGGGAGAAGATGACCGCCATAGCCAGACAGAGAAAAGCTTGAGAAGAGCCAACAATGGCGGTAAACAAAACAAGATTATCGTCTTAACTGGAACCGCTGCATTTCTCGCTGTCGCTCTTGGTTTCGCATTTCACGCCTTTAAATCCTTCAATCATCGTCGCAAAGCTAAAGGTTTCTCAATTTTCTCTTTTGATTTTTTTCATTTGTTGGATTTCTGATGAATTGTGATGTAGAATGTTGCGGAATTGTGATTTGTTTCTCAATTTTGTTTGTTTTGTTTGGATGTGTGTAGATCTTGTTGGGTCGAATGTGAGAGTGAATTTGTCAGTGAATGAAATTCGGAAATTGGCGGATCGAATTATTGCGGAATCGAAAGTTGTTTATGATGCTCTTGCTTCTGTGCCGGTTGATAAGGTAATGTACTTTAATTTATAAAATTGATTAGGTTTTTTTTTTCTCCTTTTTTCCGCGGAATTATCTGTAATACAGCAGTTTGTTTTTAACATGATTATGATTATTTGGTTGGTGATTGCAAATGTTGTGTCGTTTGATGGGAAAATTGTACGTTGAGGATTATGATTATGTTTATTTCAAGTATATCTTTATTGTTGTAATCAAGGTAAAAATTGCTTTCTCCCATAAACAATAGCCAAATATAATAATTCACGAGTTTCTAAACTTTCCTGATTTCCTAAGTTGTTCCTTAGAATGAGTGATGGGGCTAATATGGGAATGAAAAATGTTACAGCATAAAGGGTCTTTTGGTTAAGCCTTGTCATCATTGTCATGTTCTAATTATGAGTGGTTTCGGATCAATGTGGCCATTCTTTGTAGGATAGGGACATGGGGTTGATGTTAAACTATTAATTCCTACTAAACGAGGAGGTTGGTAGCATTTCTAGAAATGCAAATTTTAAATTGGTAATCATGCCTATTGAAGAAAATTTCTTTTTGATAAGGGACTAAGTGTTGCCTGTGCTTTTTTGGTTGCTTAAAGTTTTTAATAAATGCTCATGAAAGTGCAGTCTAACAAGTATATTTCCTTGAAACTTGTGATTATTGGCCTAGATGCAGTAGAAATCTTGATTTTTCAGAGTTTCATTGGGATATTGAAGAAAAAGGTTTTTTCCTTTTTTAAGGGAGGGGAAACAGTAAAAAGTTTGTATGCGATTGTGGTGATTTGACGGCTAAGTATATTCTGCTATCTTCTCTGCCCATTGTTAGGTTAGATATCAAGATATCATGGTGCTAGCAGAACTAGAGGCACGGCATTTTCCATTGGTCCAGTCTTGTGTTTTCTCAAGGTTAGTATCGACATCAGAGGATGTACGCAAAGCCAGTGCTGAAGCAGAGCTGAAAATAAATACACATAATGGGTCTTGCAGGTGCTTTCCTCTATTTCTCTTACATTGATACACCACCTATTTTACTTTGTTGCTAATAAAAAGAAATTTTGAACCGCAATGGTGCTTGTGCATGTCCACATTTTATGCTCTTAAAATGGCTGCAGTTCTTTTCTTGAACAAAGAATATATTTATGTTTATATTTTGAATTTTGTGGGTTAGGTTGCATACGTCCTTGGTGCTCCCGTGAGTTGCTAATACACCTAAGAATATCATAGTTATGGACTAGACACATGGTTATTATTTTCAATGATTTTCCTCACTCCTTGGGCTAGTGGCGTTCTTGAAGTAAACGTCAAAAAGTAAAAAAGATAAAAATAATAAAGAAAATTTGCGGAGTCAGTGTTGCCTTATATTTGGTACGCCTTGATATGTAGAATGGGTATGAGAACTAAACTCCTACCGAATGTTGTTAAATTAGTTCAATGTTTGAAATACTCCGGAGGGGGGGGGGGGCATTTGTTAACGCAGTGCTGGCAATTTATTTGGATGTTCTTGAGAGCAAAAAACAAAGATTACTACATCATAAGTGTGCATTATTTGCATGATATACTCTTTGATGATTTTAGGAAAGGCCAATGTTGCCTCATGTCTAAACCATGCCAGAATTTTCCAGCCTGAACCCTGAAGTAGAGGATGTCTTCTTTCAATGAATAGTTTTTATACTGTTGCTTTTCTTATCAATTCAGTCCTTCCTGTCAAGGAGGTAGAGAATCTAGGGTTAGGGTAAGTTTTATCAAGTCTGATTTGTGTTATTGCACGAGGACAGAATTGGCAAAGGTTTTGAAAGGATAGACTTGTAAGGTTTGGTTGATTACTTGATGCCGGGCCATAGATTACTAGCTCTTGCATTCAGTATTCTGGTGCAGTTTTACTTATTTACATATACCCTCCAAAGAACCACATTCTGAAAAGTACAAATTGGTATGTAGTGAGCTTGTACTCGTGGTTTACTAATTTAACACAATTGACTAGGGAACCAGTTTCCGTACCTCTTTTAGGTACTAGGACGACTGTGCTCCTAATACACAGGTTTAGATTATGCCCATTATGGAATTCAGCACTAGAACTCTTATTAAGTTAATGGAGCATACAGTTTTAATTGCCGAAGAAAACAGACCACTTTTATGCCATGCCGAGTATATTCAATTAAGTATAAGCAATGGCTAGAGAGATGAAGTAGCTAAACCAATTCAAGATGAGGTTCCATGGTGTATGTTGTTTGCGGATGATAACGTTTTGGTAGATGAAACTAGAGGTGGGGTTAACGCCAAGTTGGAGAAATGGAGGCAAAGGTTGGAACCTAGAGGGTTTAAGCTAAGTTCGAGTAAGACATTTATCAAGACGTGGCCCACAGGATTAAGTCGGTGTGGCTTAAATGGAGGGCGGCCATAGGAGTGTTATAGTTGAAGGGAAAATTCTACTGGACTGCCATAAGACCAGTGTTGCTTTATGGTACAGAATGTTGGGCTTCTAAGAAGGAGCACTTTAAAAAGATGGAGGTTACGGAAATGCGCATGATAAGGTGGATGTGCAGAATCACTCTAAGAGATAGTATCAGAAATGAGGTTATTCGCAAGAAAGTAGGGGTGGCAGGCATTGCAGATAAATTAAGGGAAAATCGCCTGCGATGGTTTGGGCATGTAAGACGGAGACTCGAGGGTGCACCGGTTCGAAGAGTGGAAGAGTGGGAATATGGAGGGGTTAAACGAGGGAGAGGGAGACCGAAAATGACTTGGTTGGAAGGAGTTAGGAAGGATATGAAGTTTATGGATTTGCATGAGGATGAAGCATTAGATCGTAAGGGATGGAGAAGGAATATTTATGTCAATAACTACACGGAATAATTAAATTTGGTTCATGTTAGATTATGTAAATAATCTTGTGCATATTAGTTTATAAATTACTTATGTATCCTTAGCTATTAACCCTAGAATACGCTTGTATATATATTGATGATTAATCAATGAGAAGGCCATGACAAATATTCTCTAGAATTTCCTTCGCATACTTTTCTGAGACAAAAATAAGCCATTCTTGTCACGAGTCACTGCAATACCTAAGAAATAACTTAGGTTGCCCAAATCTTTCATGGAAAATTTAGAACTAACCCAGGAGATGATTTGGTGATGAAGAGACTCTGTAGAAGCTGTTAGCACAATGTCATCAACATACAACGATAAATATGCAATGTCACGACCATGGTGATAAATGAACAAAGAGTTGTCAGATTTGCTTTTAGTAAAACCAATAGTAGTCACAAAATCAGCAAATCGTTGATACCAAGCCCGTTTGAGACCATATAGAGACTTTCGGAGTAAACAGACATGATTGGGCGAGCGGGATCCTTGAAACCCAATGGTCGATACATATAAACTGTTTCATTCAAGTTACCATGTAAGAATGCATTTTTAACATCCAATTAATGAATTGGCCAAGAGCGAGACGAAGTAATGCTAAGAACCACTCGAATGGTTGCCGGTTTGACAACCAGACTAAAACTTTCATCACAATCAATTCCTTCCCTTTGAGTTTTACTATCACCAACAAGACGAGCTTTGTCTTTCAAACGAGCCATCAGAATTAGTCTTATGCCGAAAAATCCACAAAGAGCGGATAACATTGAGATTAGACGGTCTTGGAACTAAATCCCAAGTGCCATTAGCAATAAGAGCATCATATTCTTCCTAAAAGCAATTTTCCAATTATGGTCACGAATAGCATGAATTGGGTTCTTTGGAATAGTCGATATAGAGGTAGTAGTATGAAGTGCTCGATTTTGGTATTTTGGATTAGGCTTGACGATTCCATGTTTGCTACGAGTAGCCATGGGATGGTGAGTTTGAGGTGCGGTAACATGGGAGGGAGGTGTAATATGCGGTTGTGATGAGATAGTAAAAGAGTGAGAGGCCACAACAGGAGAAAAAGGAGGTGAGGAGGGTGCGTAATGTGCTGCACTGCCTCGCTCAAACTCGTGGTGGGGTGCAGTGTGCTGGACATGCTGCTCTGCATTGCCCGCCCAACCTTGGAAACTTGTGGGTTGAGCAGACGCTACAGCATGCTGTACCCTCCCCACTCCAGCACCCGCTGGATCCTGTGTGGGTGAGGTAGCAGCAAGCTGCTCATGCTCGTTGGTAGGTGCGAGTTGCTGCCGCACTAAGGGATGATGGAGGGGGCTTAAGGCATCACCCAAAAATCATAAGTATGATCATTTGGAGTATGAATTTTAGAAAATGGAAAATCTGACTCGTCAAACCAAACATGTCTAGCTATTATAATTTTTCGACTCGATATATCAAAGCACTTGTAATCCCTATGATTAGATGAATAACCAAGAAAAACACAAAGATTGAAGCTTGTGTATTTTAGAGGAGGGGGAGAGGGGGTAACATAGACAACCGAACACTCTAAGATGAGAATAATCGAGATGCTTTTGATATAAAATTTGAGTCGGAGATTTGTAGCCTAGAATCTTTGTAGGAAGGATGTTATGAAGGAATGTGACCAGTTCTAAGGCATGATGCCAAAAAGTAGGTGGCATGGAGGCATGACTAAGAAGAGTGCAACAACATTGTTGATTGTTTTAATCTTTCTTTCGGCTTTGCCATTTTGAGGAGAGGAGTACAGACAAGAGAAGCGGAAAGTCATGCCGTTTTGTTCAAATTTTTTTTGAAATGGAGGATTGGTAAATTCCGTTCCATTGTCACATTGGAAGGCTTTTACTTCCCTTTCAAATTGAGTCTTAATATATGTTCGAACACGAAGAAACAAGTTGTAAACTTGGGACTTGGATGAGATAGGAAAAGTCCATAGAAAATTCGTTTAACTGTCAAGAAAAAGAACATAATATTTGTGACCAAAAGAGCTAAGAACGGGAGAAGTCTATAAATCACTGTGAACAATATCAAAAGGCATAGTAGTATGAGACATAGAATCATAAAATGGCAATTTCATTAATTTTTCTGAAGGACAAGAATGACAAACATGTTTTGACGCCTTATTACAATTTATGAGATTACTACTATGCAAAGAACTAAGAATCACATTGCCCGAATGACCTAAACGGGAATGCCACACACTAGGAGGCACAACTGCAAAAGCTGACGGATTTGAAGTGGAAATGAGGTGACGATCGGTGTAGAAGGGATAGAGATCGCCACCGCTATTACATCTCACTATTTTGCTCCCTCTCTGCAAATCCTTCACAAAAAACCCACGGATCAAACTCAATTGACACATTATTATCATTAGTGAACTTTCTAACGGAAATGAGATTTTTAACAAGTTTGGGCACGTTTAGGTTAATTTTGAAGTGAAGTGTGTTTTGGTGTAAAGATTTGTGACCATAACCATGAATTGGAACTTTGCTACCATCACCTACAATAATAGAATTATTATTATTTCTGCTGAAAGAAATATACGACGATAAATTACCCTGTGAGTTCGACATATGTGATGTTACTCCTGTGTCCATGTAATAGTTCGGGTCAGCAAGAGACATGGTATGCATAGCTTGCTCTATGTTGGTCGGAACATACCCCGAAGTAGAAGGCGGGTTGGTCACAAAGTAAGCCTGAGAAGGTTGAGGCCCTAGAACCCGTGGCTGCTGTCCGAACCTTGGTGGCACCCACTGGCTGGACCTGGAGCCTGCGTCGGGTATGGACATGGTGGAGTGGACCATGGGTTTTGACCCCAGTAGGCCCACGGAGGGGGAAGCATCCACCCTGCCTGTGGTTGCATCTTTTGCTGCTGTTGCTCCGGCCGCTTGAACCACCGCCTGAACTATCGGAACCCTTCCTCTTTCTGGTGCCCTTGACTTTGTTGTTTTTACGGCCACCAGTCTGCGAATGATTCCCACGATTTCCTCCAGAATTTGGGAAATTCTCAGCGTTGTTATTGGAAGCCGAAGAGGACTGCACAAGTAACGCCTCCTCATTAGACTCGGATTTAAGATCCGTAGCATTGCTTTGCTCCTCCAACTTGAGCGCAAAGCATCAAAGGATGGTAGACGTACGAAAGGGTTTGTACTCCTCGGATAAACCTTTCAATAATTGAAGGGCCATTCGATTGTCAGAGACCGTGTCTCCAACATTCCTTAAACTGTCAGCAAGGGTTTTGAGGCGAGTGCAGTAGGGTTTAACACCCTCAAATTGTTCAAGTTTGGTGTTTGTGAATTGGGCATCGAGTTGTAAGGTTCTTGCAGACTTGTTATTGTGGAAGAACTCCTTCAAACGCTTCCAAACATCAATCGCCTTGTTATCGGGATTGATAATGGAGTTGAGCAAGTCATTGGAAATTGTCACATAGATCCATTGACGTACAATATCATCAAGTCTTTGCCAAAAAGCTTTCTCGGCATCCGTAGGCTCGGATGGTTTCGCCGAATGATCAACTGGTGGAGGAAGAATATGGTCTAATGACCAAATTAGCACGGCAATGAAGTTGGAAGAGAGTCACTAGTTGTTGTATTGAGTGCCAGCATAGTCAAGGGTGATAGGGATACACGCCTTGATGTTGGGTACCATGGTAGCCGGATAAAGCTTGCTTGAATTGGCCACGGAAGAAGAAGATGAAGAAGAAGAAAGTAAGGGTTTGCAGAAGAGCAAAAGGAATTTTTAGGGAGAAAAATTTAACCTAAGCTCGTGATACCATAAAAGATTTAGAGAATATTTGTCGTGGCCTTCTCATTGATTAATCATCAATATATATACAAGCGTATTCTAGGGTTAATAGCTAAGGATACATAAGTAATTTACAAACTAATATACACAAGATTATTTACATAATCTAACAGTTCATGTAGCCGACCCCACTTATGGGATTAAGGCTTTGATTGATTGATTGAATGGCTACAGAGATCAATTGTAGGGAATTAGATGTATTTATGGACAGAAATTTATGGCTTCATGTAGTATTGTTCTTCAGGTGTATAAACACAGCTTATAATCTGTTTGATGTTAGATCATAAATTAAGTGAAAATAATTAGTTTGCGTGTCATTTTCTGTAGGTTATCCCTGTGAATGTCATCATTATACATCCTCACTACCATACATGCTTTTCCTCATTGATTTTCATCTCCAATCCTACACACATCTCTAAAGCGCTAACAGATGGTCATATGCTTCAATGAAGTGTAATTCATACTTGGTAGTGGAGAATTTTAACTCTGGACATTACTTAATCCAATGTTACCTGCATTTTCATTACCATTACCTCTAATTATGACTTTTAGTTTGGTTATTAGGTGAGCTAGTAAACAACAAAAATATATTTTATAAGTTTATTTAATATTCTAAGTATTCTTGCCTGTGTTGTTCATATTTTATTATTGGATTAGCAACTGACATTTTATCTCATGTGTATTCCACAGAAAGCGTGAGGATGTGTTTAGTGTTGTAAAAGCTTTTGCTGCCAGAGGAGAATGGAATAATGCTGAAGCAAAATCATATGTTCAATCTCTGGTATGTATAAAAGTTTTTTTTAGCTTCTCTCGTGTTTTTCCCTCCTCTCCTTTTATTGACATTAGTTATGGACTATTACAGATAAGGCTATCCCCAAAGGTCCAAACCCTGCCTATCGGGATTGATACTGGGTGGTTGTTATTCTTAAGGTAGGGAGTGTGGTAGGGGTTTAGGGGCTATTTGGTTTGCATGGGGTAAACGGAATGGAATGAACAAAGGGAATGAAATGGAATGGAATGAAAATCCGTCAAATGTTGTATGTTGTTTGGTGTAATAAAAACAATGGGAATCACCAGATTCACCACCACCACCACACCCACGCAACTAGATTTTCGATGGATTTCGGTGAGAGGAGGGGCGACCATAGATTCTGGCCTGCAAATTTCGATGGAGCTTAGCCTACGAATTCACCGGATCTTGGCTTTTGAAAACTGCCGGTTTCTTCCGCCCAAAACTGTCGGATCTTGGCCTTCGGTGAGAGGAGGGGCGACGAAAGGAGGGGCGACCATAGATTCCGGATCTTGGCCTGCGAATTTCGACGGAGCTTGGCTTGCGAATTCACCGGATCTTGGCCTTCGAAAACTGCCGGTTTTGCCCGTGGTTATCGGCCTTTTGCTGAGGTTTCACGGTCGGTTTTTGCGGGCGGTGGTGGTTTGGTGAGGGGCGGCGAGTTCCGACATGGAAAAGGTATGGTGGGTATGTTGGTGGCTGGGAAAGGGAATAGAAAAGGTAAGGGGGGGGGGTGAGTAATGGGAGTAGAAGGTTTTTGGGTAATCAAAGGGGAAAGGGAATGATTGAAATTGAAAACCAAACACTATCAAAGGGAATGATTCCCATAGAATCCCATTCCCTTTGTTTATTACAGCGAACCAAACGGCCCCTTATATTAATTTGACATGGAAACATGGAAACTTTTGTAGATGTGTACAATAAGTTCAATTTGGTCAGGTTTTGCTAAATTATTCTGGATTTATGCTCTTGTACTATAAGTAGGCACAATTATTTTGAAGCTGCATAACCACAGCATACTTGTGTATTGCTTTGGTGGCTTCTGAGTTCTGATTGCATATGCGTATGTGTGAGGGGAGTCTAAATTGGTCTGTTGTTCTCATAGGAGTGTGATTAGTGTTCAATAGTTAATAGTTGGGTCGTATTGTTCTCATGGTAGTGTGATTAATGTTCAGTAGCTGTATTCATGTGAATTGTGTTTCAAAGTATGCTTTCTGAATTTTCTTCATTTGCAAGGTTACACCTTTTTGTAAATATGTGATCTTTGGTGATGTGGTTTATTTTTTAACTTACTAGTTAGTCTGTGACTTCTGATTTATTGCTTTTTTGACATTAGAATGACCAGTTCCGATTTTACTATCTGAAGACTTGCTAGTTTTGCAAAAGCCTTGCATGTTTTAGGCTATTATCCATCATTGTTGTACAGCAAATGATTTTCATCTATGTCAAGTAATAATATGTATTTCAGGATCTCCTTTATTTACAAAATTTTGAATTGCATTTAGCCCCTCTTTCCTGTGTAGTTCTTGAAGTGTAGAAGGAAAACATTGAAGAGATATTTTTAGGCCACTAATTGTTTATCATGTTATATGGAAGTCAAAGTTATCGTCAAGGAAAAAAGTTTCTAGATAATTCAAGAAGGTAGAAAAGATTGATTGTTAGTTTTAAGATGATTTAACAAGCAACAATCCTTGTAATTTGTTTAGTTCGCCAGACAGGATTTTCGCTGAACCCATTTTGCCTCCATCAAGTTGCTTGATGTTAAAATGGTAATGACTAGTGTATATTGACCTTGAAGGGACTCATACATGCTTCTTCATACTCACTGTATTTCTTTCTCTGTTCTTTAGTTCTTTTGTATACTTAACTATCTCAATTAGTGATCATATGGGCGGTACCGCAGTAATACACCTGATAATATTTTTGCATGTTTTGGATGGATTGTTATTTATTTCCTTCTGGTTCCCTGTGAATATTGATGGTTGCTTTTCCAGTGACAGGTTAGAGATTTTGAGCAAAATGGATTGAACCTTACTTCATCAAAGAAAGAGGAAGTTCAACGTTTGCAGGTTCAAATTGATAACCTAAGCATGCAATATGTTCAGAATATCAATGATGATTGTACTCTCCTTCTCTTCACTGAATCAGAGCTAGAAGGATTGCCCTCTGAACTCCTTCAGGTTGATAAACAAACCTTTGTCTTAAAACTGAGTCTGAGTCAGAGTCTGTGTCTGATTTGTTTTGGTTGGTGAATGATGAAAATGTTATGTGTTTTTAATAAACAATTTTTGTCGATTCTGCAATTCCTGGGAGTTATGTTCCAAAAGTGTTAACTCATAATTCAAGCATTCATCTTCAATATCAGTAATTAATGAGGAAGGACTGGACTCACTGGAGAATTTCTGAGCTATATGCATGTCTCTGTCACTTGTATGTGAATGAATTTGCTATTTTTTCCGAATCCCTGCTGTAAGAAGTATTGGAGATCTCTTATAATTTTTGAGTGTTTATCTTTGTCTCCCTGCCTGCTAGATCTTAATACTCTCTTTGTTTTTTTTTTTTTTACTTGCAACACTTTGACTTCAGCACTATTCGCATATGCTATTTGACTACCTATGATGAGTTATACTTACGAAAAAAATAGTCATGTGGGACTTTGTTAGTTTTGTCTTGATTTATACCTTCAAAATATCATTTTTTTTTTTTTTACAAAATTAAATTTTTCTTATTGATACTGAGAGATAAAAGTGATTGAAATAATGCATTGGCAAGTGTGAAATGAAAAGTGTTTCAAGTAAATAATAATTAACAGAGGAAGTGTTTTATCTATTGTAATTTTAGTTCCGTCGTGTAAAGTGATTTTCTTGGATTGGTAATAATTATGTCTGTTCTTCTAAGCTTGTATGTTGGGGGTAGTAAGGTTGTAACTAATAAATATTTACAGGCTTTTTTTGATATTGGTTTGTTGTAATTTTTAATGGTATGTAAATCATATTTTTACAGAATCAATGATGTTTCTAGAAAGTGTGATTTCTTGTTATTCTTTGTCTTTTACATCAACTTTGATTTGAAATGTACAGATCTTTGACAGGGCTGATAATGATAAATTCAAGGTTACCATGAAAAGTAATCATGTGCTGCCAATACTGGAGCTCTGTAAAGTATGCTTTTGTTCCTTTCTACTGCCATGATTAGCTTTGTTCATATGTTACATCATTCTTGGTTTTTCTCTGTATTGTCTTTTCATCTATGTTTTAATTGCTCTCTCTATCTCTCTCTCTCTCTCTTTTTTTTTTAATAGTCCTTCTGTGACTTTGTGTAGAGCCTATCTTAGAAGTTCTTTTTTTGGTAGAATGTTAGATTAATGTTGGAAATGGGCTCAGAAAAGGAAAAACAGAAAATACTTACTTGGGGATTAGTTTAACACTGTTATGATGACAAAAACAGTTTATGTACTGTAATTTATCTGTCTGGGTCAGATACTGGGATGTACTGATAAAAGTGTCAGAGTTGTAGAGAGTGAGATAGTTGGCTGGTCAAGGTTTAGGACATTGCTATTTTTATCAGGCTTGGTGACTCCTTATCAAGTACTTGTTCTTTTTTTTTTTTTTTTTTTTTTTTTCTCTTATTGTTCCTATAAGACTGGTGTGTTTGCCAACCGCTTAACTTTTGACCTTTAATGTCTTTAGTTATTTTGTAATAAAGATAATATTTAGTTGATATTTTGAAATTATACATTGAGACAAACCCAATAATATTGTACATAGTTCTATGTGTTTACATTTAAGTTGAATTATGTAGCCAAAGTAAGATGTGAACTGCGCAAAAACATATTTTGATATTGTTGACCTATGATCTGTACAGAATTGGCCATCTTGTATTTGTTTATTATTGAAACATTGCAATATAGTTCCAACATCTTTTCCTCTGTGGGATTGTCCTTGAACTTGTCCATTAGATGAAGGATCTAGGGTAGGTGAAAATTGAAGCTACTTAGCTCCAAATATTATGTATCTATTCAAACCAAAGCTATTAGGTGGTCTCATATAAATTGTCTTCCTTTTAAACATCTTGAAACATACAAAATCAATTGAAAGCTTTTTTCCAGCTTGTATTCAGTTACCGTAAATATTAGTCTGAAGACTTTGCTTTCCATTCGCTGAACAATATTCTTATGGTTCACAGGGAAGATTCACGTATGTGGCCTGCTGTAAATCAATTTGTTTTCACTTCCCTTTCTCTGTTAGGGAGATTTGGTCTTGTAAGGGTAGTATGCCAAGCTATATGTCTATGGTTTAGAAGTTGACCTTGAGCTCTAAGGCTTCAAGGGATAGAGTAGGAGCAGAACACTTACACACCCCTGGTCGGAATGGGTTTATACTTTTAATCTGGATTAGACGACAACACGATTCTTGAGCCATGCCTCAAAATATTTTCCATCCTTGTTTTTTTATGAAATTAATTCTTATTATTGATGAGAATTTTTTGCAGTTCTTGATTATGGAATATAGCTGTGCATCTCAATTTTTTTTGCTAAGTCTGGATTGTTTAAGCAAATATAAGACTAGTAAGAGTAGTAAAACGTTGTAGCAATCTAACTTATAATATGAGTCTAGGACCATAATGCCCAGCATAAATGCTTATACTTCGTATGATCTTTCATTTCCTCTTGCCTTTATGTAATTATTTTATTAAGTTAGGATGGTACTCATGGTAGTGGTAAAATCTTGTACAGGGTAAGATTGTATTAAGATAGGATGGAATGGAGTGGTAAAATGTTGTATAGGGTAAGATTGTTTTTTTTTAAGATAGAATGATAATATTCATTTTAATTAAACTAACTTAAAAGTCATAGTGATGTAGCTATGATGTTTTAATTTTTAAGGCTGCTCCTGCTGCCTGCTTCTCTGCACCTAAATTGGAAAAGAGGCAGCATGGCACTGCGGGAATGGACCTTTGATCCTTTTTCTAGTTATGTGGCTTACGCCATTAGTTTTGGTTTAGATGGCTTATTCACCATCTGATGGTCTTGCTTCACATATGTGCTGGTGTCAATGAGATATATTAGATTGTACATGTGCTTATTTCTCTCCCAAACTTGTGAAGGTTGGAGCGACTCGGAGGAAGGTAGCTGTGGGATATGGGCAAAGATGTAAAGAAATTAATGTGCCCGTGTTAGAGAATTTGGTGAGTGAGAATGAAATCTGAGACAATTTATTGTTTTAAATCACTTACATTCTCTTGTTAATACATTACTTTAGCTATGTTTATATCGTTCTAACTGAAAAGCTTTTCCATATTTTACAGGTTCAATTGCGCCATAAATTTGCTAGATTGCTTGGTTATGATAATTATTCAGAATATGCTGTTGGTTCTAGGATGGCGAGAACTTCCTCAAAGGTTTGTGAAGTAATCCTCAGTGTTTTAAATCTTGTTTGGTAACCGTGTATGTAAAATAATGTATTTATGCACTGTCTGAGTGAGCTTTCTGCTCTTTCTTTCAGGTTTTTGAATTCTTGGAGGACTTGTCAACGAGTTTATCTGATTTGGCTTCCAAAGAACTTGATGTATTGAAGGAATTGAAAGTTAGTACTGTTTGAACTGTGCATTGCACTCATTTCCAGTTGTCTTCTGTGTGATTTACCTTCCTTTTGTTTTATCTTTTTTTTTTTTTTTCTTTAATTAAAAAAAATCTCAGGCAAAAGAGGAAGGGGACAATCCTTTTGGAATTGAGGACATGCTCTATTACGTAAAAAAGTTTGAAGAAGAAAATTTCCATCTAGACTTTGGAGCACTTAAAGAGTATTTTCCTCTTAGCTTAGTTCTGCAGGGGATTTTCAAAATACTTCAAGATGCTTTTGGTAATAATAATAATTATTTACTAACAGAGGTTCAAAGAATTTTATATAAGTGCTGCAGCTGTTACAGTATGTATCTGTGTCTTATGTTGCTCTAATGGTCCTATATATGTTATTTAATGAGTAGGATTAAGATTTCAAGAAATTTTTGGGGCTGAGGTGTGGCATGAGGATATACGTGTTTTCTCTGTTTTTGATTTGAGCTCTTGTGAACTTATGGGCTATGCATACCTTGATCTCTACTCCAGGTTCAACAATTATCTCTTTTTCTGTTGACCTTAACCGAATTGTTTGTAGCAAACTGTCTAACAACATTTTTTTCTGTAAATATAGGGAAGGAAAATATAGTCAAACTTGTGTTTTGCCTCTTCAAAATGGTTCATTATCAGCAAATGCTGCTAGACAGGTTAAACTGCGAAATGCATTTAAAAAAAATGATATATGCGTGATACCTCCGTTCAACATTCATTACTGGATTTATTGTTTATCATTTTTATACATCCAGGTTCCAGTTGTTCTACTGATGTCTGAGTTGTCAAAGGAGAATGATAATTCTCCCACAATACTGCGATTCTCTGAAGTTGTTAGTCTTTTCCATGAATTTGGCCATGTGGTAGGCTCCATATATTTTTCATTTTCAACCTTAAAATTTTTGTCCTTGACTGCATGTGTTAAGTCCTATTGGGCTGCTTTTCTTCCAGTCGATACACCTTTTTATGACTGGGTTTGAATGATTTCTATCTGCTTCTTACAATATTTGAAAAAGATCACTTGTCTTTAACTTGTCTTGAACCTTGATAATCTGGCATTCAATCGAAGTCTTGATTGTTCCCTTTTTGTTTTTATTTTATTTGTTTATTTAAATTGTTTTAATGGTGTTAACTAAAACTCACTTTTTATACCCTAACTTGGAGAACATGACATTTGAATGTCTTATTAATACTAAGCATAAGACATATTTTGTCTTCTTGCTTGCTACCCCTTTAAAGCTTGTTACAACTGCAGATGACAAGATGTCTCACTTAATACACTCATTAATTATTTTAAATTAGCAGGTTGACATGCTATAATAACTTTATACCATAAGTCCGTAAGTGCCTGTACAGCCATCCATGGCCGTAATATAATTGTTGAAAACCCCAAAAAAAGAAAAAAAATATTTCTTGCTGTTACAAAGTGATGCCATTTCCGTTTCAACTCCTTAAATATTTGGCTGATATAACTAAGTGAAGTATGATGCTTTTATCTTACTAGAGTACTTGTCAGTAAATAACATTTGGGTAATAATGATCATTCAGGTCCATCATATATGCAACCGTTCACCACTTGCTCGATTCTCTGGCTTGCGTGTTGATCATGACTTTGTGGAAATGCCTGGTCATTTACTTGAGAACTGGTAATTCTCTACCATCTTCTATTTGCTAATTTATTTTATTTTAAATTCTTTTTTTTGTGTGTGTGTGTGTGTGTGTGTGTGTGTGTGTGTGTGTGTGTGTGTGTGTGGGGAAAAAAGAAAAAAAATCCATGCTTACTTACTTTCCTTGTTCTGATTTATTATAGGTGCTATGAGAGCAATATCTTGAAATTAATATCTGGTTATTATCAGGTAGTTTGTTTTCTTTATTTATAGTCAAACTACCACTTCCTGTTCGTCATAGAAAGGAATATAATGCTATTTGCATACTGAGTTGAGTTTTTGATTGCCTGCGATTGTCCAGTCAATTGCTTTATCTCAGACAATTTGCTGTTGGACTAGTGTAGTACTTCGTATATTTTATACTCATTGAACTAATTTTTACATTTATGACATTTATAGGATATCACAAGGCAAATTAAAGATGATATATCTATGTCTTTGCAAAGATGGAGGCATTCCTTTGCTGCACTTAAATTGAGGCAGGAAATTCTTTACTGTAAGCAGTCTGCCTTATTCTACAGCCGTTGTATGTTTTTATTGTGTATGAAAATAATGTTTGAAACTTTTCTCAGGCAAGACCAACTGTATAGCTTCTGGTTTTTAATGGCAGGGGTTTTTTTTTTAAATGGTGTACAATAATAGCTATGCGAAGTAGTTTCAGATCATGTGTAAACAATTTCTAGTTTAGGTTTTTTAATTGATGTGATGCTCACCAGTGGAATGGGTGGTGTAAATGTGTGGCTACTGCTTAATTGGGTGATATGAAGTCCGTCACCAGTGTCTTGGTGGGGATATTTTAAGTGAACGTAATGTGCACACAGATAATTATGGTGATCAAGTGACACTTTGTTGAAGATTGCACGTCGGCTTTGTTGTTGTTTGGCTGTGATTGTTGTACAGTTGATTTTCAATTTCTGGTATTTAATACCTGACTTAGAATCTATTGTCCAGCCTCGAAAGACCCCTGACAGAAACTGGAGCTCTTTCAAGCTATAGAGTTTGAGCTTATATAAATGGAATTGATTCACTGTCTGTATTACCAATTCCTAAACTATTGAAATTTAAGAGCATATTGAAATAGGCGGAAAGTATTAGCTATTGGCTTGCATCTGGGGAGATGAGGTTATTTGTTGTTTCTAGTGTAGAACTTGGCAAGTTAAGAGTGGTTTCATGCTTTTATGTACGTACTTTAATGAAGAATCTGTTCATGTAGTCACATTCTGTAGTCCGTTTTTCTTGGTAGCTGACATTGCTTTATTAGGTCTATTTGATCAAATAATACATTCTACTGACAACGTCGACTTCCTTGAGTTATTCAAGTTTCTCCATCCCAAGGTAAAGAAAATGGCTTAGTGCATTACCTTTTAAAGTTGGGTTTTGTCTGAGCAATTTTTGTTTTGTCAGGTGATGTTGGGATTACCCATCTTGGAAGGCACAAACCCGGCTTCGTGTTTTCCACATTCAGCAATTGGTTATGAAGCTAGTTGTTATAGTCGCATTTGGAGCAAGGTGTAGTATTTCCCCGTCATCAAATTTCATTAGTGGACTATCTGCATTGTTTTAGCCACTAGCACGTCATCATCATGTCCTTTATTACATATATTATATGTTTCTTTTACTCTATTCTAAATCCTTCTAATTGTATTTGCCAAAAAAAAAAAAAAAAAGTCTTCCTTTGGTGCCTCAAATTAGGTGTCATCTGCTTAAGTTTTATTGTTTTTGCAGGTTTTTGCTGCCGACATATTCGCTTCCAAATTTCATGATGGTCTTAACCATCATACTGGCATGCAGTTTCGCAACAAGGTGAATAGTTAAATTATGCCTTGTGATGTCTTGAATTTTACTGTGCCATTAGCCAATGGGGTACCCCTTGCAGTGTCCTAGATTTCTATTATTTTAAGTTTTTTAAAGGATGCAATGCTGTGATAATACGTGTGATTGTTTTGGTCTTGTGTTTGAGTATTCCCTAGAACTTCCTTCCCTTTTTTGGTATGTCATTGCATATTGAAAAGGTCAAAATAAAATATAGTTTTAAGTTTGACTTAGCTCTTATTTTGTATCCGAGGCGTTCACTATTCTAGTAGCCTGATAAGTGGATGGGACTATGGGATTCATTGGACCTAATATATTAGGGACCATTAATTTTCCCTTGCTTTGGTAGAATGAAGTATCACTCTCAGGTTTTGCTGATTTGAAGTTGAATCTTGTCATCATGCGAACTTTTAATTTTATAAGCCTCGTATTGAGGCACTGGCCTCTCTGCTTCATGGGATGAGGTGCAGGTGGGTAGGTTTGATTGATTTAAGTAAGATATGAATGATCATATTTTTGTTTTAACAAAGATTAACTTATTGATTGAAGTAGAAGAAACTGTCAATTGTTAATTTGTTATTATAGTGTAGCCAAGTATCGTATGGTATAGAAAATATGCTATGAAATAATTTATTCTTATTTTTGCAAAAAATTGTCTCGAGTAAGTGATGTATACTCTTCTGTGTTTCAGCATGCATTTTGAACTTAATGCCCTTAAGAATTTGGGTTGTTTTGAATACATTTTTTCTTGCGTCACTGTCTTGCAGGTACTGGCTCCAGGGGGGGCGAAGGATCCACATGAATGTTTGTCAAATTTCATTGGTAGAGAACCGTCAATTCAAGCATTTGTAGAAAGCATATCGTATTCAAGTATCTGATGAAGCAGCAGATATTTTAGTCAGGTGCATTCACTTTTTAACTTCAGGGTAAGAGCTCTTCAGGACATTTAAACCATTCTTGAAAATTTAATGTTCTTTTCCCAAGATGTATCGCACCCTTTTATAGTCTACAACACCTCCCAAGATGTATTGCACCATTGACGGGACAAATATCTTAATTTCTTCTATGGCTTGATGAATGATTGTCAATTGTCATGTCACAACTTCATTCATTAGCTTTTTACATTGTTAAGAATTTAGATGCTTGTCCAAGTCAAATAGTTTTGAGTTTTGACTATAGACAGTATCTTATGGTTGCCATTATTGTGTATGTTGAAATTGAAAACCTGTTAGTAGAGCAATGCGTTCTCTATGTCAAATGAAGTAGGAGAGGCTTATTATTTGGGCACGGTGATTTATTAAAAGGATTTGCCAAAAGAATCAGTTCTCAGGGTAAACTTGCAATATTGAAGCTTGTATTGTTTAAATTTATTATTCAACTTACATTGGTCACTCATTGTATTAGTGTCCTAGCCTGAGATTTCTTTTTGGCACATCCTTCTTTATTGTGTTTCACTTGTCTTTCCCTTCTCATATGCTAAACTAAATTCCAACAGTTCTTCACCATACACGAACTCTTTTAGTTTTTTAGTCTAGGCCCTTAGGGTATGGACTCTTTTAGTCTTTCCCTTCTCATCTGCTTGCATCATGATCATTATTATCCAAAAAACATCTCTGTTTATTTATGTTAAGGTTCGATTGGTACTCGGAATTGACAGGTTCTTATTTTTTTCCGTTGTATAAAGATTCAAGAGCATGAGGGAACAAATAACTCAAATAATGCAGGGATTTGATATCTGAGGATCATCTTTTTTCAGATTTGGAACAGCCTCTTTTGCATTTGCCAAGGCTACTAGCTCGTTGCACTTCAATGCAAATTGGGTTTTTCTGATTCGACGACTTTCATTTTATTTTGGAGAGGAAATTTTTGGTATAAGTCACAATTTTTTTTTTTTTTTTTTTTTTTTTTTTTTTTTTTGTAATTGCACTTGTTATTTTATTCTTTGATCACTATGCTTTTGTATTTAGTACGAGTACGAGTAAATTCTTCCACTAAATTGCATCAATGTTTATCAGATAAATTTTCATCATAGTCAGGATTATGTGTTAAATATAATTGGTCTATATTTTTGAGACGTCATTTGTTGACAGGGTATTTATTGCCCCTTCCTCGATTTTCTTGTCTCCTTGCCTCTTTTAAACTCACCTATGACTTATTCATGGAGATGGTTGGAGAATAAGATTGGGAGAAGAGGATGACAAAGTAGAGAACAGGGACTAGCAATGGAGGTTGATGGACAAAAGTAGTTAGTGAGAGAAAAGTGCGGGAGAGATTAGAGGAGAAATAATACAATCATAAATAAAAGTGTTATTTATCACATTTTATCCCTTTTTCTCGATTAGGTATGAGTTTAGACTAATTTTAGAAGATATATACAAAAACTACATCGAAATATTAATCCCAATAATGTACAAAATTTCATTTTAAATGATCATCAACCATGATCCTCCCCATGCATTCTCTTCTCTCAAGTGATATTTGCTCCTTTAAAACTAATTTGTGTACATCATTTGTACATAACTCCTTTCATCCAATTCATCTCAGCTTGACATTTTCTAAAACTCTCAACAATTCTTTTGGCTTTTATTTTACATGCCAAAATTAGTGTGAGGCATTCTTAATGCCTAACAATTAGGTATATGTCTTAACAGTTTTAAGGCTTATAAACCACTATTTCCTTTGAACCGGCAAAAAATTAATGGTTTTTATTTTCTTCCATGCTAATGTGAGCGATGGATTGAGAAGATATAATATTAGCATCATTAAGAGAAGCGCTCCCAAAAACATTGCTGATCAAATTATACCACTTATAGTATTTTATGAAATGCTTATTTACAAAAATACTCAAAAATGAAGAGAAAAATAGTAATAAGTTAATCGTGTGACCAAATTATAAAACTTGTCATTTAAGAGATAATTTCCATATATAAAAAGGAAAAAAATACAAATACGTTTCAAACCGAATTTCTTACTAGTTAGTAGTTACTACGTTACTAATCAAAATCCTTTCTTTAATTGTTAGAAAAAGCACCTTAGCACCATATGTACAAAGATTTTTCCATGCCTTTGATCACAGGCCATCACACATTCACACCCGAGACCCGACCCGGATTGACCAAACAGTCCGCCTTGATCGGAATCTGTCAACCCAAATGTTGGATTTAGTCAAATTGCAAAGCACAACATCAATTTATACATACTAGTAGAACTTCTACAAACTACTGAATTACAACTAGTATTTATTAAATAAAAATATTAGGTGTAGAAAAGAAGAATTCTACAAAGAAAAATAAGCCCCATTTAATTCAAAATTTTTTTTTCCCGATATTTTTTCCTTTCATTTGTGGATACCCCTTTATTTATTAATTTGCTTTCTCTGTCAATTATTTATTCCCTTTATTGGAACTCGCCCTACAAAATACACAAGCATGTGCAATTGGGTTATTTTGTTTTTCTGAAAAATATTACCTTTTCTTTTTATGTTAGTATTTTTCAAGTACTTTTGTACCACCATACCCAGGCCATAAAATAACAAATTTATGTGTAAGAAAAATTCTTTTCTTATTTAAATTGAAAAAAAGTTATTTCTTTAATTTTATAAAAAAAAATAATAAAATTAGACTGTCATTTTCTCATCTCTTATTCATAGTGGATTTACACGTCCTGGGTTTCTTTTTCTCTTTTGTTTTTTGAATTAGGCCCCCCAAAAGATTGAATCTTTGTTCTGCTAAACCCCCCAAAAATAATTTTTTTGAAGAGGGCATAATATTGTTTCTGGGAAAAATCAGAAAATTAATTTGCAAGAAGTACCAAGAGTTGAAGCACTAGGGTTTTGATTATAATTTGTGAAGGTAAGTTCATCTTTCATGTAATTAGGTGGTTTATATTTTTTACCCCTTTTTATTTTCTGGGTGTAATTTTACTGCAGAAAGAAGAGATTTTGCATGCTTCTGGGTGAATTTTGAACTTCATTTGGCATCTGGGTTAGTGTAATTTTTTGAGTTAAGTGTTAATATGAATGTATTTGTGTTTTAATGGGGAAGTTATCATCTGGCTTTGTTTGATTGATTCTGAATTTGATGAACAAATTTGCTTCTGAGAAGGAAGGAGGATTATATGTATGTTTCTTGTGTAATTGTTGTTGGTAGTTTTTAGTGAAATTTGTTTGTTTTGGAGGTTTTGAGAGGTTGGCATCTGGGGTGCTATTTTGTGGGTGTGTGAGCAATGTTTAAGCAAATACTTAGTAAGATTCCACGGAAATCGTCAAAATCATCGGAGAATCGAGAGCATAAGAATGCTTCTAGTGCTGGTTTGAATGCATCCAGCAGTGCGAGGAAGAGTGATGTGGGGTCTAACAGGACTAGTAATAATCAGCACAATATGGGTACAAATGGTGCTTTGAGTGCAGGGCAGAATCAGGGAAAGAAAGTGTCTAGAACTGTGGATACAATGATGAATGGTGTTATGCTGTCTTCTTATGAAGCGTTGCCGAGTTTTAGGGATGTACCGTGCTCGGAGAAGCAGAGCTTGTTTATTAGAAAGCTTCATATGTGCTGTGTTTTATTTGATTTCCATGATCCAACAAAGAATCTGAGAGAAAAGGAGGTAAAGAGACAGACATTGTTGGAACTGGTAGATTATCTTTCTTCGGCGAATGGGAAGTTTTCAGAGAATGTAATGCAGGAAATCATAAAGATGGTGTCGGCAAACTTGTTTCGGTCTCTTGCTGCTCAGCCGAGAGAGAACAAAGTCATAGAGGCATTTGATGTTGAAGACGAGGAGCCTTTGATGGATGCATCATGGCCTAATTTGCAGATAGTGTATGAGTTCTTGTTGAGATTTGTGGCGTCTCCTGAGACTGATGCTAAATTAGCTAAGAGGTATGTTGATCATTCCTTTGTGTTGAAGCTGTTAGATCTTTTTGATTCTGAAGATCCCCGCGAAAGAGAATATCTGAAGACAATTCTACATCGCATATACGGGAAGTTTATGGTGCATCGTCCGTATATTAGGAAGGCAATTAACCACATATTTTACCAATTTATCTTTGAGACTGAGAAACATAATGGGATTGCTGAACTTCTAGAGATACTTGGAAGCATTATAAATGGATTTGCTCTGCCACTGAAAGAAGAGCACAAGCTCTTTCTTGTTAGGGCACTAATACCTCTGCATAAACCGAGGTGCTTGCCTATGTATCACCAACAATTATCTTACTGCATTACACAATTTGTGGAGAAAGACTGCAAGCTTGCTGATTCTGTAATTAGAGGGCTATTGAAGTATTGGCCAATCATCAATAGTTCTAAGGAAGTGATGTACTTAAGTGAGTTGGAAGAAGTTTTAGAAGCAACACAACTGCCAGAATTCCAACGAAGTGTAGTGCCCTTATTCCGTCAAATTGCCCGTTGCTTGAATAGTTCGCATTTCCAGGTATTGAGTCTTGTTTCTCCATCCTCTCTTCTTTTGGTTCAACTACTGTTTTGTATAATGTGATCGTATGCCTTTTTTTCTTATTGCTTTGGTAATTCATGAAATATTTTCATGTGTGTCAAGTGTCAAGAATTTAGTGCTTGTTTGATTAACCAAAGTAATGGGGTAATTGGGAATTACAATATTGGGCAATCGTTTGGTTAGCAGTCTTAGCACCAAATAAAGAAATGGAGGAATTACCTTTGGTGTCAATCAAACATATCATTGCCATATTCTAGGATTCGTAATTGGGAAGTGACTTCCCTTCAATTATATGTTCCCATGTGATCCAATCAAACACTTAGTGCTGATCTCAGAAAGCTGATTAGTTTTGATCTCAAAATATGTATCAGCCACGTCGACCAAAGGTTTAATGAATGCAATTCTTCTACTTCCATTGGATTGATGCTGCAAAATCTACCCCCCATCCCCCCAAAAGCTTCATCAGTGAGCCTCTTATAGAAGCATTGGGGTATCAGTTGATGGAACTTGGTTTGGATTATCAATTTGCTATTATTTATGTTATGTTGCCTGTGGATATTTCATATAGCCAATACCATATAGTTGGTAGCCTATTTTTTAATTCCATGTATGACCTTCCCTCTCATTTTATTTAGTATTTGACTTGGAAAATGGATGTGTTTTTAAAATTTCAATCATATTTTTGTAATAGAAATATGTATGAAGTCATAATCCTATTCATTATATCTTATCACCAATTGTCTATAATTCTATATAGTAATGAGTACTCATTGTTATTATGGAGGGTCACTGCAAGGCATTTGGTTCAAGGAAAATACTAACAATGGAAAAAATGGGGTATGGATTGCCTGTTTGCATTAAGTTGACCCCTTTATTCTGCCATGTGCTGGACCCAATTGGGTTGCTGTTGTTGTAATCAAGAATTCATATGCGAGACTTGGAAGACGTTGTTTGAATTTAGTATTTATGTTGATCACTTTCTTTGTTCTGTTAATTGTCTCAAACTTCTATATTGGTTTGCCTTAGGGATGTATATGCTAATACTAATATTTATGTAACTGGATTTTCTCAAGGAAAACATGAAATAGCTCCTATAAAAGGCTTGCTAGTGTGTGAGGTTGACATGTTATGGATTGAATGTTCTACCTTGAGAAGCATGTGAGCATTAGATGTGGGTGTAATATGTTCCTCAAGCAGCTTGTAATAAGTCAAATTAGAGAAGTAGACTTCATTCTTGATATTCATTCTTGATAGAATTCTGTAGCATTTAGTTCACGCTCTAACTCTTGGGCTAACATCAAAAAGCAATAGTGTAAGACAATGACTGGTTGAATATTGCTTGAATCAATCATTGGATGATGGTCAAGCTCCAAAATTCTGCCTTAGAGTTACAAGGACTTGGCATGAGTTAGGACGAACTTTTTAAGGAGTGTTCTTTGGATGTTGATTATCAGCTTGAAAGTTGCCCCTTGCTACCTCTTCGGAGTAATTTTTCTTTGCTCAAGCTGCTTACAAAATATTTGCTGCTAATTGAAGCAATGGTATTTGTATGAATATTTATTTGCAATTGGTGATATATATAGTTGTTGGCTTGTTGCAAATGTTTGTAGGTTTTTTTTTTTCTTTTTTTTTCTTTCCTTTTTTTTTAAAGCCTATGTGAGTTTGATGCTATGAGGGTAGGATGGCCAACAGTAAGACAAAACTATCTGATGAGCTTTTAGAAATCCATGATTTGTAACTGTCATTTGATTGTCATCTGAGTATCAGACTGAGGCGAAGAAAGTGTTCATACATTTGAAACATGTTGTTGGACTTGCATCTTTGCAATGCCTTTTTTTGAAGTGTATTTTCTTTTTGTTTAAAACTGTCTTCTCTAGCCTGCTGTCCTAGGCTTTATTTCTTTCCTGTGACCTGATTCAGGTAGGTAAGACGTAAAAGCATCAGAATCATTGTATACTGATCCTGTGTCAACGGAATCTTGTTATATGATATATTCTTAGATATTATTTCACTATTACTCTGTATGAAGAAGCAGATAGTTCGACTTCCCAACTAATGCTATTTAGAAGTCCAATTTCTGTAAGGGTCAAGAAGAGTTGGTTGGAAACATCCTTATGTATTGTCATTAGATTTATTTTTCTTTGTGGAGTTTTGAGATTGATTGCTTTGCTTTCAAAAGACGTTGATGCACTTTTGCTGCTAGTATACTCATCCCTCTGATTATTTTTATTCTTCCCAGTGGGAACTTAGTACTATTCATAAGTTGAGAAAAACTTCTAAATTTCTCTTAATAACATAACAGTCATGTTAGATCTTATTTTGATTCATCTCAATGAGTAGTTTATTAATATTCAACCGTTACATTTTATAACTAATACTTGTTTGAAACTATAGATATTTATGCCTTTTATGATCAAAGTAATGCATTGACAAACGTGCACATTAAATGGTAAGAACATTTAGGATCGGATGGAGTACCAAATACTGGTTATTAATGAGATATTTATATGGTTATCGACTTTGGTTAATGGTGAACATGGAAATAAAAAGATTATGATTGCTTAGGATGAAGTGATAATCTGTAGAAGTGTATAGTGGAAGTCAGTTAAGTGTGATTATTTTTTGTTTTGTTTGTTTTTTTTCCCTGGAGGGAGAAGGGTTTTTTTTTCCAGGAGGAAGCAGTGGAGGATAAGTTAGTTATTGGCATAATCTCTTTATATGTTTTTTACTTGTTGGGGGGTAGTAATGTGGTATTAAACAGTAATATGGTTATATGGGTTCACTGTGCTAATTGAAGAGGATCCTTTTGCTTAGTATTTTTCTTTTGTAAGAGGGCGATTGGACATGTCTTACTCTGATATCTTGGGTACTTTGATCTTTTGACGTGTCTTATATATTCAATGAGTATATTACCCCATACCAGGGTACATTTTTGTTCTGAACTTCTGATGCATAAACGGTAGCACAACTCTCAAGGCTACTATCTATTGAAAAGTTGAAGCTACTAGTGCTGCACCATAGTTCATGTTCTTGAGGATTGGTTTGTACAAGTTTTATACAAAGTATGTAAATATTTTCTCTGTAGTCTTTGGAAAACAGCCTTTCTATAGTCCTTAAGGCTTTAACTCGCTTGAGGTAAGGTTGTGTCACTTGTGAGTATATTTTGAAATTGGGATCCATTGATCTTAAATGTGGATCATCACTGATCCATACAGGATCAAGAAGAAAGTTGGAAAAGTTCTGGAGACTTCGTACTAGTTTTCATAGTAAAGTGGGGTATCTGGGTAATATGAAGTAGATCCATTGCAATTATAAACATTATTTATACCTCACTCATATGGATAGATTAAAAGGAAACATAGTGAACAGTTGTTTTCCTTAAACATGTAGTTGTCAAAATAACTCTTCTGAACTTTTTTTCAGGTCGCAGAGAGGGCATTGTTCCTCTGGAACAACGACCACATTGAAAACTTGATCAAACAAAACTGCAAGGTTATTCTGCCTATCGTCTTCCCTGCACTGGAAAGGAATGCAAGAAATCATTGGAACCAGGCTGTTCACAGCTTAACTCTCAATGTGCGTAAGATTTTCTCCGATCTTGATCCCGAGCTTTTCGAGGAGTGTTTACTCAAGTTTCAGGAAGACGAATCAAAGGAAGAGGAAATGAGAGCAAAACGCGAAGCAACATGGAAAAGGTTAGAAGAAATAGCTGCTGAAAAAGCAAAAAGTAGCGAACCTGTCCTCGTCCCCCTCATTTTACCAGCCCGTACCACTTCTGGTCTTTGATCCAAAGATCGATCTTTTTTTGACGCCAATTTCATTACTGACAGGGTTCTGGTGATGGAGTTTCATGTATGGTCATTGATTTAATTCGTTACTACCCTCCTGTATTTTTGGCCGAAAGTCCAAAAAAACAAGGTAAAAAAAAAAAAATGCGTTAGCCAATGTTTGTAGCTTATGTTTAAATTTCTAAAACTCTTTAGTTTAGATTTACTAGGGCTTAAAAGTATGGGTAGATATATTAATTGAAAAGAGTAAGGAGAATGGCATAAGATTAGGATTTTCTGCAATTTGCAGCAGTTGGAAAACTTTGTACAGTTGTGATATTCCTGGTTTGGCTTTATTATATAATTAATGGCTGCTTTTAAAGTTGTTTTGTCTGATAAATTCAAATTAACCAAACATTCCTTGAGTTGTTTATTACTGTCAAATTTGCTTTACTAAATACTAATTAAGGTGGGAGTGCTGCATAGTTGTTGAGGGGACTTTGTGCACCACTTTTTCTCAGACATACTAATGACCATTATAGTAGGCTCAAAGGGTAGCCCTATAATTGTCATGGACCCATAATTCTCATGAAAAAGGCTGGCTTTGCAAACACCTTTTAGAGTTTTAGATTATTGGATGTATTGTACATTTTTTTAATACGGCGGATTGACTGTTTTATGGGTGTAAATCAGTTGAGACTCTCTGTGAACCTATCATTTTTAAGTTTCGTTTAAAACTCATTCATTAATGTTGTTTATTTGAATATGATAAATGGAGTTGAGTTTGAACAAGTTTTTAGGCTTGTTTGAATATGAATCAAGGATAGATATACTCGTTCATATACGTTTATGTTTAATTTTGTTCATGAATTACTTGTTTATGTTTATGTTCATGAATGTGGGTTTGTTTATACTGAGTATTTAATAACAAGCTAGATTGATTTATTTGAAGCTCAATTGTTGTTTATAATTGTTAAACTTTTGAATTCAATATTATTTATTAATGTTAATTTTAATTATTTGGTTTATCAAGCAAATTGATAGCCTTGATCCTTTTGACTTATATAATTGTATATTTAATTATAATTGCAATTCGATACTTACCCATGATTTTGAGGTTTTCAAAGGCCATTTATTTATGAACTAAGTTTATTGCGTATAAGTGAACTTTGTATGATACGTGCTCCAACAAGAGAACACCATACATATAATCTATAGATAAAGGCCAACATTCTCTATTTATGTAAAATTGACAAATTGACATTCTATTTTGGATGTACTCCATATCATGTTAGTATCATTTTCTTAGAAGGTAAGCGTGTTATCAAAGGATCTATTGGATAAGGTGGAAAGAATAATGCGAGTACCAAATTTAGGGTGAACTAAACACCATAGAATCAACACTATCTAAAGTCTAATATAAAAAATAAAATAAAATAAAAAAGGAAAATGTTTTGAAAGGTACACACTAGCCCCTCAATATATATGCAGAATTTTTTTCCCCTTGGCCCTTGCTTTTTTGTATTAAAAAAAAAATACTACCCTTACTTATTTGGAGTAATGCTTTGCATCAAATATAGCATGAAAAGTACCAATTTTAAAACTTAAATTGATACTCCCTCCGTCCCATAATATTTGACACAGTTCTCATTTTCGTCCGTCCCACGATACTTGACACGTTACTAAATATGGAATGAGACCACTGATAAAAAAAAAATAGTTTCTTACATTTTCTTTCTCCTCACCTACCCCACTTGTAGCTATCTTGTAATATAAAAATACAAAAGAGAATCTTTTATACAATAAACAAATGTTTTAAATAGACCCACTTGTATTTTTCTTAAACTACATGTCCATCCCAACGTCCCAACTATTAGAGCACACACATTGGGGAGGATATATCATCCTCCCTTCACTCTCTCTCCTCCAAAGTAGTATCCTTTTTGATGTAAAAATATAAGAGAGGATACTACTTTAAAGAGGAATGTAATATATCCTCTTTGGAGAGAGGATATTAAATATTTAGAAGAGGATATGTCAGTGCAGCAAAACTCATCTTTTAATATTTTGTTTGCCTTTCTATTCATTGAAACGACGAGTTTTTGTAGAAAAAAACAAAAACATAACCAGCCACTTGATGTAAGGGGCCCACAAAAGCATGCATGTAGTAAAAACTCAACAGCTATATTACCAAAACCAACAGCTTTGGGTGACAATTTTAACATTGGTTCAAATTTTATAACGATAATAAATTAATAATGGTAACTTAATTGGAAAAAAAAAAACGAGGAGTTCAGTACTAGGTTTCTGCTTTGAATAATTAGTAGTAATTGCAATTATAATTATCATTGTCGATGTTAGAGTTAGTATTGTCATTTTTATTCATTTACTGTCATTGTTTTTCTTTTCTTTTTTCTTTTTTTTTTATCAATATTGTCATTGTTTTTAATTATTTTCAGTGTATTGTTCTAATTAACAACAATAGATAAAATTCTTTTTTATTATTGTCAATGTTAGAATTTGTTAGTATAATTGTTAGTTAATTAGCGTAATTGTTAGTTAATTATTATCAATGTTATATTTTTTTTGGTGAATTATCAATGTTATATATTTAACAAAATTGTAATGGTTTTAGTTATGTTTCATTTATTTATCAATATACAATGAAAAAAAAATTCCGACGTAGGTTTCGCATGCGAAGACCTCTTTTTCTTCGCATTGTAAACACGTAAAGTGCAAGTAATTGCTATTTTTAACAACATCCAGATGCAACGAAATAGAATATATATAGCAACAACATTACTATTAACGAAATAGAATATAGCAACAACATTACTAGTTATCTTTGTGTTGATTGGTTATTTAATGCAAATTTTACCTTTATAATATAATCTATTTAAAGGTTACAACTCGATTTATTTTATCAATATTAATGAAAACTAATTAATTAGGCTAATTTATTTTTTAATCACTTGAAATTATAATTGTTCCAAAATTAAATGTTTTGTTAAGAATGATAATATGTGGTGGAGTATATAAAGTATGAGTGAGGAAGGGAGAGAGGATCCTCTTTGATGCGTGGAAACATAAAGAAAATAGAAAGAGGAAGAGGAAGGAGATAGTGGGAAATGATGTAGAAGAAAGAGAATATGATGTGTTAAAAGGAGAAAAGGAGAGAGTAGAAGAGAGAATATAAGTATCCTCTCCAATAATCTTGCTCTTATGGGATGGAGGGAGTAGTAGATTTATAGTTTTTTGATTTAAAAAATTAATATTTTGAAATTGTATATGGAGATGAATTAAAAAAGGTTCTAAATAATTATTTTTTCTTTATGAGAAATTGAGAATAGCAAAAAGAAACACAAGGATGTACTTTTTGTGTAATTCTTTTAAAAAATAAAAGTTCACTCACTTCTATAAACATGAAAATATCCTTCATATAATTTCAATGAAAACATCACATTATGTAACTTTTTATTAAACATGAAAATGTCCTTCATATAATTTTAATATGTAACTTTTATTGTGAAATTACAAAGATATCCTTTATTAGTTTTACTAAATTACTATGAGTATTAAAAAAAATAAAATCAAAAGTTACGGAGTATTTATTTACCGCAATTATAAATGATACTTCTCTTCTCTCAATTTTGCCATTGCATCAATTTGACTATTAATAAACTCCATATGTAATTAATTAATTAACTTATATATTATTAAAAAAAATGTATAAATAGTTGATACCATTAAAGTATACATACTAGTTTTAAAAGTAATTTAACAATATCTTACAAGTTCAAATAACAATTTTTTAAAAATATATTTGAAAAATTCAGTATATATTTAAAGTTTAAAGTTAAACTTAACCAATTAATACTTGTATAAAACGAAATTCCTTAGATCCTAAATGTTGTTTCCACTATGTACGTTTATTAAAGTATTAATTTTCCACAGATATTAATAATTGCATTTACTAATAAAAAAATAACAATTATGAATGATGCCAATATTTTAAATGAGATAAACAAGAGTGTATCAAGAATGTACGATTTACAACAATGATCGTAGCTTTGCTGAAAGGATGTTTTTATTTGATTCAATTTTCATGCATTTATTAAATTTAAATCTCTTTTTAGATATCGTATGACTTATTATTTATGAATCAATCTTTATTCAAAAAATAAATAAAAAAAATAAAAATAAAATGGAGGGAATACAAAATACTTGTATGTACTAAAAAAATGGAATAACTTTCTACACATGTTACCTGACTAATTTTTATATTTTATACTACATCCGTTTCATATTTTTTGCAATTTTGGGGTATTATTTATGAGATGTAAAATATTCCAAAGTTACAAAAAATATGAAATGGAGGTAGTATTTGTTATTATCTATTTATCTTCTCTCAAACAGAGAAAAAAAAACCAAAAAAAAGAAAAGAAAAAAAAAAAAAAAAAAGTAAAAAAGGGGTTTGGAAGTTTGGATTGGATTAGAGTAATGTATAATCCACAAGTGAGTCCATATCTGGGGGCTGCTCTGCTAATCATTTTCTGTCTTTCTCTCTCTTCTTTTCTTTCAGAATCAGAAATAAAAACCCCAATTTGAAATTCAACTCCTTTTATTCTTCTAGATCACCATACTTCTTGTCTTGCTTCAGTAAGCTTCTTCAAATTTCCCCTTTGTTTTTTATCCTTTTTACCCACAAATTTTCTCCTATTTTTTTTGAAATGAAAATATATTTATTCTTCTGCCTAAAATTCAACTCTTTTTTTAGAAATTCTTTTCCCATTTACTTTTTCACAAAAATTCTGACAAAAAAATATGTTTTCTTTGATGTTTCAGATCATACCCAGATCTTGTCAGTTACTTCTCCACCAGTTGAACTGACCCCTTCATTTTGGTGGTTCTAATTCGACTCCTATAGAGGTAATTTTTTCAAATTTTTATATAATTTTATTTTATGGGTGAAATGTCAATATTTGGGCCCTTTGTTTTGGGTTTTGGGAGGTGATGAATTTGATTATTTTCCATCTTTGTTGGAAAGGGAATTTAATTAAATTTCTGGGTTTTAATTTAGAAGTCAAAAGGTTGTCAATTTATATTGTTATCATGTGAACATTAATTATTAAAATTTGATAATTATTGATCTGGGTTTTTTGTGCAGTGTTTATATTTTGGAATTTAATTTTCTGATCCAAGTTATTATAATGCTGAATTTTGTTGGTTTATTATTATTATTATTATTATTATTATTATTATTATTATTTTTTTTTTTTTTTTTTTTTTTTTTTTTTTTTTTTTGTGGAATCTAATATTGAAAAATTGATGAACTTTTGATCAAAAAGTTCTCTGTAGGAGGGCTTGTGTTCTAGCTCATCAGTGCAAGGGGAAGCTATTTGAATTTTGTACAGATGAGAGTTTTTGGAATTGGGGTTTTCTTATTTGATTGAATTGTTTAAGGTTTTTGATTCGATTTTGGCTGATGATTTTAGATTCTGTGCCTTGGAGAAGGTTCTGTTTGGGTATCCCTTAGGTTGAAGTGGAATAATATTCTTATCTTTACATTATCTGCAAAGATATGATAAAGCAAATATTGGGCAGGCTTCCTAAGAAGCCATCTAAGTCGGCTGATGCCCGCGATCCTCTCTCTTCGGGTGTTTTAGCTGGTGCTAGGACTGGTGATGCAGCTGGCCATAGATCAGGAAATGGAAAGGATGTGTCTCACCAAGGTTTCCATCCGTCTTCAAATTCGGGTGTGGGTAATGGGAATAAAACCGCGCAGGCAGAGGATTTAAACGCTAATGAAAGCTACACTGCCAATCAGTTTGAGGCATTGCCTAGTTTTAGGGATGTTCCGAGCTCTGAGAAGCAGAATTTGTTTATAAGAAAGGTTCACTTGTGTTGTCATATTTTTGATTTCACTGACCCCACAAAGAACCTGAAAGAAAAGGAGATTAAGAGACATACATTGCTGGAGCTTGTGGAATATGTAAGCTCTGCCAATGGTAAGTTTACAGAAAATGCAATGCAAGAGCTCATTAAGATGGTGTCTGCAAATTTATTTAGGTCACCCGCTGCTCAGCCTCGTGAGAATAAGGCTTTAGAGGCTTATGATTTGGAAGAGGAGGAGCCTTCAATGGATCCTGCATGGCCTCATTTGCAGATTGTTTACGAGCTCTTCTTAAGGTTTATAGCATCACCTGAGACAGACACGAAGCTGGCCAAGAGGTATATTGATCATGGTTTTATTCTCAAGTTGTTAGATAATTTCGATTCTGAAGACCCAAGAGAGAGGGAGTATTTGAAAACAATTCTTCATCGCATCTATGGCAAGTTTATGGTGCATCGCCCATTCATTAGGAAATCAATAAACAACATTTTTTATCGTTTTATCTTTGAAACTGAGAAGTTTAATGGGATTGCGGAGCTTTTGGAAGTTTTGGGCAGCATCATTAATGGGTTTGCTTTACCTTTAAAGGAGGAGCACAAGTTGTTCCTTGTCCGCGTCCTCATTCCCCTCCACAAACCAAAATGCTTGTCAACATACCACCAACAGTTATCTTATTGCATCACTCAGTTTGTGGAGAAAGACAGTAAGCTTGCAGGTGCTGTAATTAGGGGTTTATTAAAGTACTGGCCAATTACTAACAGTACAAAGGAAGTTATGTTCCTCAGTGAGCTGGAGGAGGTTTTGGAGGCAACCCAATTGCCTGAATTCCAGCGTTGCATGGTGCCGTTATTTCGGCGCATTGCTCGTTGCTTGAGCAGCTCCCACTTTCAGGTTATTGCTATTTCCCAGTATTTATCTTATTGTAAATCCGTTCATTTGCCTTTAGATCTCTGGGTGTTTATTATTCACAAGTGGTGTGTACATTTCTTCCCTGTCAACTCTAAATATTTTTTGGCCTGTAAATTCTGAAGGTTGGATTGTTTTGCATTTGATCTCCCATTCCCTGTAATTTGAATGGAAAGCGGAAGGAAATTCAGGATGATTTCAAAAGCATATTGAAAGGGGAATATACTGATAACAATGATGGGTGATGATAACTGAAGTTTGGGATTTAGAGATTTGGAGTTAGGTTTCTTCTTTGTTTAGAGGCAAGTAATCAATCAAATTTTCGGGTTAGCAATTTAGCATTGTCCTATGGCTGTTGTGCTTCAGTCTCGACGAGGCTTGTGTGGCACATTGATCCAAGTATTAACGTTAAGCATTTTTGGTATTAATGTCATATTTCCAAAATCTTAATTTCTTTTGCCCTTTTTCCCTAATAAAATCCTTTAGGGCTGGCTAATTTCCAGTCACTGGCATCTCAATTTTTTTTCCTCTAGACAAAATACCTAAAAATAACTTTTGTGATTGGACAATGCCCAGGAATGAAAAGATATTTGATCAGAGTAGCTATTTGTGATCATCCTGATATCTGTGGGGTATGATATTTTAAAGCTGCAGTCAACTGCCATTGAATAGTCTGATCAAGAAGTGCTTGCTGTTTGTTATTGGTGGAAAAAAAAATATATAGAGGGGCTTTAGTGAAATCTTCTATGTGAATCTCATGGAGTCATGGTAAATTTTTTATTGTGAAGGGTTGACAACTTAGGGCATCATATTGGCATAGCCACAAACTTGGCTAGAGAGTAGATATGGTTTCAAATATCTTGTGAAATGTTATAAAAATGCATAGGGTTCTGGCTGAGCTGAAGGCAAAAATAATAGATTCCATATGTCATTGTCATGATATTATAACAAGTAGTAATTTTGTGATTGGGTATTAGTCCCCACTGGCTAAGAACAAAGTTATATCTGTATTGGGTTGCGCTTGGTGATTTTGTCAATATCGACTACTCTACCACTTATCTTGTCAGATGTGACTTTTGTTAGTTGTTGTTTGGTTATTTACTGAAATAGGATCATAGTTTCAGTTGACCTGATAGTTCCACTCTCCTTGGTTGAATCTTCAAGACTTAGCTGCATGTTTTAGATTAGCTTCTTTAGATCTATCCTTTGAATAAATATGTGTTTGTTGTTATGGTAGGTGGCAGAGCGGGCTTTGTATCTATGGAGTAATGATCATGTAGAAAACCTGATTAAGCAAAATCGTAAAACTATTCTTCCCATTATCTTTCCTGCTCTGGAGAAAAATTGTCGAACCCACTGGAACCAGGCTGTCCAGAGCTTGACCCAGAATGTGCGGAAGATTTTCTCTGACGTAGATCCAGAGCTTTTCGAGGAGTGTATGCGAAAGTTTGAGGAGGATGAAGCTAAAGAGAGAGAGCGAAAAGAAAAACAAGAAGCCATATGGAGGCGCTTAGAAGAGATAATTTTAACCCAATCCAAAACTACTGAAATGCCCATAGCTCCTCAAAATACAGCTGCTCAAACAGTCGCAAGCTAGCATTTAGGACATGCTGGCTTGTAGTTCAATCATTGATGATTTGGAGGTTTTGGTTTATATGGTAATTCCCTGTTGAAAAATGCTGATCAATGCCAGTCCCCTCCTTTTAATTTCTGGTGTGAGGATTCTGGGGACAGATCACCCCATATGCTGTGCTGAAAGATGCAATATGAGTTAGCAGCTGTCTGGACCAAAAGTGTTGAGGAGACAAATCAAGCTACAGATTTTCTGACGGTGATTTACTGGTTGTTACCATGTTATACACAGAGGAGCTATAGATTCCAGGTACTTTTCTTTGTTTGGGGGTTGTAATATCTTTTATTATTTTGTGCTAGTTGAGGGTTTCTTCACCTACCTAGCTAGTATGCAGTATACATATGTGTATCTTCTTGACTATTCTTAGAATGTCATTTGGTTTGATTTTCATCTATATATGTAAGTTTTAGAACTTGCAAATTATTTTTGTTGGTTGTAGAACTTTATTTTGACTTTCATAGAATATTTTGTTCACTTTAACCTTTGACTCATTTTTAAGTGTTGATATTTCCACAATGACAGCTATGAGGAAATGCACATGTCAAAGATATTTTGTTTATTCCCCTGTCAAGGAATTGCTAGTTTCCCCTGTCAACTTTTCTACTTTTGTGTGTGTGTGTGGGGGGGGAGAGGGGGGGGGGTGTTTAAAACAATGGAATATCCCGCGCCTATTAAAACTGCAGGCATGCAGGAGGGTATATATGTTAAATAACTTGTTAATTACGAGGGGTTGAGACAATGTGACAAGTTGATTACTAATTTTGGTTAGGTGTAGCCAGAGTAGGTTATATTGACTCCAGCACAGCTAATGAAGCTGCAAGAGTCACTGGTAGACAACATTTAACTTTTGATATAGGAGTAGAACATTTTCATTCTTTCTGAACTATTCTTCAGTACTTTCAATTGACAAGATTGAGGAGAGTGAGGAATTAGGAGGACAAAAGCTTACTAGAAAGGGAATATCAATTTTCAATGAGGGATTTCCATATATGGTCGATGTATAGTTCTATAAAAGACAGAGGGTTTACTTTCTAACAGAGAGATTCTCTCCTTTAGGGTAATGATGCATTGAATTGTTACTTATGCCTTGTGCTACCAAATGACCTGCTGTAAGCTGTATTGCCTTGTGTTTTCCTTAAAGGTCGATACTGCATTCTCAAAAACCTTATCAGCTAAGTTAGCAAGTCTTGGCTTTGAAGAGATAGTTGTTTTTTGGAATTATGCATCTTTTTCGAATTTCATCCTTTCACTGGCTTTCTAGTCATTATGGACTTGGTTTAGATAAGTTAATGTGTTAGCGACCACTTAGACAGGGATTGTGAGTTTGTTGGTATGTAAATTTTGGAATCTTTTGAGATGCATGACTTATTACGGATTACGGATAAGTACTGTTTTGTGGTCAGGACTTTTTTGATTATGATATGATTTAGGGTTGTTGGTGGATTGAAACCAGTCATTTGATTAATTATCATTTACCAACCAGACAATTACTTATTAGAGCAGTGGAGGTCGTTTTCGATGTTTTAAGGTGGGTAATGCTCATTAGCTGAATAATTATAGTAATATTTTCATATTTCCGAAAACCACCTAGTTACATGGTTTGCATGGCTCAAGTATCCCTTTTTAAAATTAAGGTCATTCACTGCCTTCTCATTTAGGGAATTTAAGATCACTGTTAAAGGTCTTATTTAGCAGAGAACTTGATTGTCGATAGGAGCTGATGAAGTGTTTGCAGAAGGCAAACTAGATGAAGGAGTATCAATGGAACTGTGGGTGTCATTGTATCCTGATTTTAGAAATGGTAATACCATCATCCAGTGTCAAGATTTTTTTTTTTGTTTTTTCCCGTCCGAAACACACCCAAATTTGATAATTGTTGCTTATCTTTGAGATGGATCTATCATTCCTCTTATCAGTAAGACAAATGACAAAAGCAGTGTATGGTCCAAGAACCTGGTTTATGTTTTGGCCACTTTAATAAACAACAATTGGTTAAAAGCTAAGATTAATGTTCGAGCTTAAGGGTCTTGAGATCTTGTTATCATAGTTAGTGATACCTATTCCTTGGCCTTTAGATCGAATTATTGAAAGAAGATCAACTCATGTTTGCCAAGAAGTCTAAATCAAAGCTTAGGTAATCCTGGTGGACATCGGGAAGATATGAGCAAATGCGTAAGATGACTAGTCTCTTGGTGCTCTTAGAGATTTGATTGCTCGAGGTCTTGGCTAATTTTTCTGTAAACCACGCAGGATTCAACTCTGCTCTTTGTTTAGCACCTTTGAAACTGACTGAGTGCGTGCTTGAACCACTTAACGTTGATTGCATGATCGAGCCTGCAAAAGCTCAGATCTTCGAGACCATGGCTGAGCCATGCTAAGTCCTGTGCTTGAATTCCGCTATGATGTACTGTCTTCTGGGTTAACTTACTATTACCCTTTGGAAAAATAGAAGGGTGGTAATACTGTTATGATTTGTTAAAACATGCAAATCTGTAAAAGCTGATATGTAAAAAGTATTAAAAACCCATTAAGATGTGCCTCTTTGACTTTGTTGAAGATAAATTATTTTAATCCAATTGATATCTGATTCAAATGTTGACTCTTAATTCACTTAAGCAGATTTTCATAGCTTCTAAAAAAATTTACCAAGGGTTATCATTTTCACGATCTTTATACAGCAATGCAAATCTACTATCGTTCATTTAATTGTAATCATGAATCTCTTTAACAATACTTATTATTGATTTAGTTCATACAAAGCCTTACTGATTTTCATCGTGCAAAATCATACACTCGGCTTTCAGAATATCATCTTTTATGCTTGCTTTATTAATATTGGTCTACTACCTTCGTTTAAATTTAGTTTTCACATTACTATCTCACATTATAACAACGCGACAGTTAATCTTGGATGGCTAAAGTTTGCTTTGCCACAAGGCATTGTACGTGATAGATCTCATGTTGATGATCGGGTGATCGATTCCAAATTATCCATTGATATATATGGCCATATGCTGTTGCATCGCATTTATTGGTTTATGCGTCTAAAGAATATACACCAATTTATGTCTCAGCAAATCTAACGAATTTATTGTCTGAACCAAATCTGGTGAATCCAATATACACCAAATCTTTGTCTGGACCAAATATAGAAAATTCATGTGGGTTTTTCATTCTTTATTACAAAAAAATTTCTTTATCTCTAGGATGGCAAATCTCTTAGCAGTAAACATAAATCATGCTCTATATAAAGAGGCTTAAGCATGAATTGTACGTTGCAAATAACAACCATTGATACTAGTTACGAGTTTACGACAAAGAGTATAACAATGGCCACAATGATGAAGGTTGCAAGAACGGCTAAAGAATACGTTAAACCATCCTCTACTACCCCTCCTCATCTTAGAAACTTCAAACTTTCCCTCTTGGATCAACTTGCTCCTTCGTTGTACGCCCCTATGGTGTTCTTCTACCCTATGCAAAATACTCAAAACCTGAAAAATGAGCCATCTTCTCGAGTGAAACACCTAAAACAAACACTCTCCCCCTTCCTCAACCGTTTCTACCCCTTTGCGGGTAGGATTAAAGATCATGTCTCAATTGATTGTAATGATGCCGGTGTTGAGTTTTTGGAAGCTAAGGTAAACACCCGGTTAGGAGACTTCTTAAAAAAACCTGACGCAGATGCTCTCAAACACTTCCTCCCTGTTGATATTGAGTCTAAGAAAATGGGGATGGATAATTTGGTTCATGTCCAAACTAATACGTTTGAGTGTGGAGGAATGGCGCTTGGGATATGTTGGTCACATAAGATCACAGATGGTGGGACAGTTTCCGCGTTCATGCGTGGATGGTCTTCTGTGGCCTCTAGGTCAGGCAATGAGGTGATTCCGGAGTATGGTGCTTCTTCTTTGTTCCCCCCAACTGACTCCTCAATCACACAACATGCACTTAAGCTAGACACTGATAGAACATCTACAAAGAGGTTTGTGTTTGATGGATCAAAGATTGCAAAGCTCAAAGCTAGGGCTGCGAGTGAGGGTATGCCTAAGCCTACTCGAGTTGAGGCTGTCTCGTCCCTGCTCTGGAAATGTGCAACAATGGTAAGACATATATGTTTTCGGCTTATTTCATTAATTTGTAAAGACACGTAAAGATACATAGAAAATTGTTGGGAGTATCCAAACATAGAGTCTAATAATGTACGAAGTATTCAAATATTAACCAATAGGCCTAGACCTTATCATTGGTTATGGTTGTCCATACTCCATACAAGTATAAAAATATGTATCATGAAATCTCTTTGATCACATCAACTTATCCCAAATATATATGAATCCTCAACCCAAATGGTGTATTAGAAACTAATATAGACATGAAAAATAAATGTATACACAAGCCAAAATCTGTCATACATACTCTTTAAGCATGAATGTAACCAAGTTTTTCTCATCTTATGCATGAAAGGCATCAAGAGCAAACTCGGTGTCTCAAACACTATCAGTGATGTCCCAATCCATGAACATACGTAGAAGGACCTCGCCACCCTTGCCAGACACTAGTATCGGCAATCTTGTTGGCTACTATGTAGCAAAGATGGAAGAAAATAATGGTGACCACATAACACACTTAAGAGATTTGGTGGCAAAGCAAAGGCAGGGGAAAACAGAGGCCATCAACAACTACGCGAAGAAGCTGCAAGGGAACGATGCATATGTAGTGATCCGCGAGCTATTCAAAGAGGCAGGAAGCCTACTAAGAAGGGATGATGTTGATTTCTTCAAGTGTCTTAGTACATGTGGAGATGGGTTGTATGATGCCGATTTTGGGTGGGGGAAGCCAATATGGCTAAGCTTGGTTAGTTTAGGTTACAAGAACACTTTTGCCTTAAGCGAGACCAAAAAAGGTGGTGGAATTGAAGCTTGGGTGACCTTAAAAGAAGATGATATGGCCTTATTTGAGCGCAACTTAGAACTCCTTGCATTTGCTTCGCCGAATACAAGTGTCTTAGTAATGGATGAAGAATCTCAGTTGTTGAAACAATTAGAAAGAAGTTTGATATTTGATGATCCAAGCGACAACCAAACGTTGCTAACATGGTGAAGTATACCATTATATTTTATTTAATGTATTGTTGATTTGTTTTTTAATTCAAGTTTTCTAAACTATTGTTTAATCTAGCGAAAGATGTTTTGTTTTCCCCATTGTAACAAGTGCTTCTCTTGAGCTTTAGTCAATGCTAAATTGGTGATGGGGTGACCTTGATCCATGTTATGATTTTCATATATTACTTGAATTACAGTTAGAGATGACAAAACTGACTCATATCCGATTACCAGTACCCAATCTGAATTACATGACTCAAACTCAAAATGTACCTCAAATTGTCATGACATAATTTGAAGTAAAATCAAGCTGCCCCAACCTAGAGAAACCTAAACTAACAAGACAAACCAAGTAACTCCTTGCCCACATATAATCAAATTACTCATCACTCATTACTCATACAAGATTCATAGTTTCATTTCTTATTTTTTCTCTCTTTTGCTAGAGGGCACGTTACATTATGCAACCAGAAATTTCAGCTGCATATCCGTAGAGAAACAAAAGCTTGTGATCAAGTTAAACCACATTTCCCCAAAAATCTGATAATTTGTTGCATCAATTTTGCTAGTTAGTGAAAATCTCGTGTATACATACAGCCACTAGTCCTATCCAAACGTTCAATGATCTTGAAAGCACAAAATTTGACGCTAAATTCCTCAAAATAATAAGAGTAGAAGGATCAAAGTTCGCGAAAATGGAAGTAGAGATCATTTCCAAAGAAGCTATTAAGCCTTCTAAACCAACCCCATCTCACAGTAAATTACACAAACTCTCCTGTCTAGACCAACTCTCACCAAGCATCTATGTTCCCGTCCTCTTGTTCTACCGTGCCCCTATGACACCTCATGATCGTGTTAGCCTATCTTCACAACTAAAGAGCTCACTTTCGGAGACATTAACTCATTACTACCCATTTGCAGGAAAGGTGATCAAAGATGGTGTTCATATCGACTGTGAAGATGAGGGAGCTCTTTTCTTAGAAGCCCGGGCTAAGAACAACCTTATCGATATCCTCACGTTGCCAAAACTTGAGGCCTTAAGCATGCTCTTCCCTGATAATTTGCAGTGGAAGAGCTCGAAAAATTCGAGTGTTTTGGCTGTCCAAGTTTGTTACTTTGACTGTGGAGGTTTGTCCATTGGCATTTGCATTTCACGCAAAATTGCAGATGCTTGTACCATATTTACCTTCCTCAACGATTGGGCTACGTATGCTCGAAAAACTGGTGAGTCAATATTTTTATTAGTAACATTACCATAATGTTATAGAGGATCGAAGTGAGAGGATAACATTGTCACGTGCTGTTACTGTAACAGGAAAGAACGGCCTTCCATCAATTTGCCCTTTGTTCAACACAGCATTATCGATATTCCCTCCTAGTGATCAAATTGTCTTACCAGAGCTTGAATTTACGACATCCAATGCCGTCACAAGGAGATATGTTTTGCATTCAACAAAGATATCAGAGCTCAAAGCCACCATAGTGTCCAACTCGAAAGTCCTAGAAAACCCAACTCGTGTTGAGGCTGTAACATCAGCCATATATAAATCCATCATTCAAGCAAATAAAATTCGATCTCTTGGCTTAGTAAGGACATATATGCTAGCTCAAACAGTAAACATGCGTCCTAAAATGGTTCCATCATTGCCAGGAAATACTATTGGCAACATAGTTTGGTACTTCCCGGTTATGATCATAGACAATGATGACATAAGTCTAGAAACATTGGCAACCCAAATGAGGGAATCGTTTTTATGCGATGTTGCTAGAAATGTTGGAGAGAAAGGATGGCTTTTGACGTCAGGTAAGTTAGAAATTGACGGAGAGCATAGCCAGGACAGTGCTTACAAATTTAGCAGCTGGTGCAGGTACCCTATATACGAAGTGGTTTGGGTGGGGAAGCCCTATATGGGTTAGGACTGCCGAGTATCCTTACAAGAATAGTGTTATTATGATGGATAGCAAAGACGGAGAGGGGATTGAAGCATGGGTGACCTTGGATGAAGAAATTATGTATGTGTTTGAAAGTGATGAGGAACTTCTCAAGTTTGCATCCTTAAATCCAAACATTAACGACAATACGCAAAGTTGAGAATTTGGGTTTGTATAAATGGTGAAGTTATTGATGTTAAATAGGGACTATAGGGTATTAAATGATTCGAGTCAGAGCAAGTTTTAGTTGGTTTGAGCTAAGCTTGATAAGAGTTATGAGTATTTTCGACCTAGCTCAAGCTTCAATAAGCTATTAGAATTCTTATTTGAGCTATGTATTGATAAGGGTGAAAGAACGGAAGAAGTAATTGCCGGTCATCTTGATTAGCAAAAAACGATGCAAATGAAAGAACGGAGGAAGTAATTGCTTGTCATCTGATTGGCAAATGCTTGATAAGCAATAACAAATTCCATACATAATGTAGGAAACAAAGATTTACCCCATAAAATGTGACAAACTTCATTCAAAAAACTTAAAAATCATTTAGCACAAAGAATATTAATCACATTCTTAACAAGATACCCTTTCTTCCCCATAAGAAACTCCCTAACACCCTTCTCATCCCCTACAAAACCCAACCCTTTCATCTGCTTCAAAAACTGTTTTCCCTCCAACTCCTTCCCCTCCCTCACAAACGCCTCGAAAACCGCCACACAAACCCCGGCATTTGGCCTCATCCCCTTCCCCAACATCTCCAACACATACTCCTTAGCCTCATCAAGCATCCCGCCCGTGGCAAGCGCCTTGATCAACACACTATAAGTATAAACATTAGGAAGAACCCCAGATGGTAACATCCTCAAAAACACCTTTTCAGCTTCCTTGCATTGTCCAGCATTAGCATATGCCTCAATAACAGCAGTGTGGGCCACCACATCAGGCAATTTCCCTTTCTGTTTAATCTCCTTAAACATTTCCAACGTTTCATGGGTTAAACCATTGTTAGACATTTCGTCGAACATCTTGACTGCATTACTGATTAACCCCTCTGTCCTCATCCTCTGGAAAACTTGCTGTAAATTCCTGGGATCTTTAGGTCCGAGAATGGTGGGTTTGTTGCTAAATGGGTTTTTCCCAGTGGGTTCGGATTCGGGTTCGGATGAAGTGAATTGCCGGGTGCTGTTGATGTTAAAAGGGGAAAATAGTGGGGATTTGGAGGTGGAAGAGAGAGGTTTAAGGAGGAGAGAGAAAGAAGAGGCGGAGTTTAATGGGTGAGAAGAGAAGAGACGGCGGAGAATGCGGCGGAGATGTGGTGGTGCAACTGCCATGGTTTTACTTGTGAGGAGTAACAAGGTGGAACTCTGAAAAACAAGTTTTGTGAAGAAGAGAAGACAATTGGTCAATTGATCGGGTTTTGAGAAGAGGGAAGGGAAAGCCGCCTTGGCTTGGGGTCAACGCCGGGAATTTTTGAGAACATGAACCAAATCATTGTTATAATAAAATACTTCCTCTATCTCATATTTATATGTCTTTATTTTATTTTTGGTGTCCCAAAATGTTATACCTGTTCAAAAAAATATCACATTACATCTATTAACTATTACTAAAACAAAACATTACTGACATAATCACTGTTCACATTTCACTCTCGTAATAATTTTTTTCCCCCCTAAATGTAGGGATGATGTCATTTTTTTTGGGACCCACCATATTTAGCAATTTTGAAATTTGAAAATCAGAAGCTTCTACATCACAACTACAACTTATGTATCAATTTATCCTGAAAAAAATGAAACAATTGTAAATAGCAAACTAATAAATGGACTCCTACATTGAAATATGTACTAGGCAACGTTAAACAGGTATCAGAATTTTGATGAAAATCTAAAATTTTAAAATTACAAATATTTTTATACAATGTGCATAAGCCTTATTTATGTTTATCCATTTTTATAAAAATGTACAAATTATAAAAAAAAATAGATTTTATATAAACTGTGTATCGCACGGGTTCTAACCTAGTAACTATATACTAAAGGCGAAACCTGGAATGACACTTGTGATTTATTGGTTAAAAATTTTCCCACCTTTTTTTTTTTTTTCTTTTTTTTTTTTTTTTTTTTTTTTTTGCCATGTTTTAATGACATTTTACAACCTAACATAATACTTCCTCCATTCTAGAAATATTGTAACAACTGGACTTTTGCACTATTCATCTTGCTTGTTTGACCACATATTATGATCTATACGTGAAGTAAAATATAGTCATATGGAGTCTTGTTAGATTCGTCTCGTAAAATACTTTCACAATATCAACTTTTTATAATTTTTACTCATATCTAATTATGGATATATAAAATGTGCTTTAGAATGCGTAATTTTGTCCTTGTTGCAATATTTATGGAACAAAGGAAGTATTTATTTCCATTTGACAACATATTTAATCCAATTATACCCAATTTTTTTAACATATATTTTATATACTAGAGAACTTTTAGTTACAAAAATACTAACATAGATTAAAAATAAGGTAATTTATTATTTTTCAAGATTATTATAAATATTATCAATGTATCAATTTTTTTCTCCAACTTTTATCATTTGACAATAAAATTTATTTTAATTAAAAAAGAAAAATCATTTTGGTAGCATACTTTATATAAATATTAAAATTACATAACATTTATAAGAACAAAATCTATTTGTTATAGTACAATATACATAACATATATTGGAAAATTAAATCTAATTACTCTAAATATTTATGTGATTATTTAAAAAAATAAAAACCCTACTACATATACTCACTAAAAATATATTTAAGAAAGTTGATTACGGAATACTAATTATTCTAAAGTAAAATAAAATCAATTAAATTTTCATATTATGCCGGTCAAAGTGTGTCAACAATTTAAGGATAAATGTATATGAGTTCGTATATGGGTACTAACCTAAGCTAATATTTTAATTTTTTTTTTATATAAAACCTTATAGCTTCTAAATTTCTATTACTATATTATTTTTTTATACAATCCTATTCAATAACCCTTACGTATTTGATATTGGTATAAACTAAATTTCAAGTTATTTCTTATACAAATAATTTTTTTGGATAAATTAACACCATTATTTATAATTTATTTGTTGTAAATTTAAATTATGATCATGCATGATACGGGACTTAACCTAGTAATTCTATATAATTCATACAACTTTTTACCTTTTCCATACAAAAGACACATAAATCCAAAAAATCATTACTTACTTTTTAGCTTTCTCATACAACATTCTATACTTTTTATTATTCCCATACAATATTCTCTACTTTTTATCTTTTGCATACAATATTTGTACACTCCCTTTATTTTCCTTAATTCCCATGTTTTTTGAGAAATAAACATGTAAATAGGACAGAGGGAGTATTAAAATGTACGTAGTAGTGTTTTATGGTTATGCACCTAATAAAATGCAACAATAGTATGATTAGTATCTCATGGAGTAAAAATGATCTTCTAAAAATTGTTTCTACTGTAATAAACTTTCCTGATTTTGAAGCAATAAACTTTGTTAATTGTAACATTTTTTTCAACCCCTTAATTTTTTTAAAGTTGGTTGGTGACTTGGTGGTAGTGGTTCATACTTTTTTTTTTTGTAAAATAAAAAATTACTCATATACGAGTTTAATTAAGTTCGTCCTCTCTCAAAACTAAGATTCAAAATGTTCGAATTAATTAGAAAAAAAAGGAAAATTTACTTTCTACAAAAGGGTCTATCCATTGATAACCATCCACTATGTGATTGAGTGAGGCTGTTGTATATGGATTGTGATGATTGGAATTGTAGGACTAGAGCCTGGACTATATAGCTTCACCGTGTAGAATATTTATAATACTCCCTACACTTTTTTAAATGAAATGTTTTGACTTTTTGCACTATTCACCTAATCCACTTTGACTAATGACCTAAATGTTAGTGAATTTGGCTAGGATAAGGCCAATATACTTATTGAGGTTGTAGCCCTTGTAGATTTTATTGGCTGTGAGTGAACTACTTAATATTATGATCTCAAATCACAACTCATGTAGAAGTAGAATTATTGGACTTAACCATTTTTTTTTTTGGGGTTGATAACGAGGGACCAAACCAGATTGAAACCTTTTAAAAGTTCACCCAACTTGGTTTAGATAGGTTAGATTCTTTGGAAGCGAGGTGAAGGTAAGAGATTCCCCACCCTAAAGATCTAGTGGTGTTTGATCCCACGATTTCGTGATTGTGACTCTTATAAGAATACAAACTTTCCCGCTACTAGAACCAATGAGATTGAGTTGATAGTGTATTTCGTATAACTCTTGACGCATAGCTTCTATTTACTAGCCTTGTAAATAGCAAGAATAAGACAAAAGAGTGGTTGATGAGTTGTAAATATGAACATTGGTATAAAGTATCATTAAATGCTTTAGTACTATAAATGTTTTTCTAGTGGTACAAATAAGTATATAAATTGTACATCAAATATTGTACCGCTGTTACCTATAAATAGTACTACTGAGACGTCTTATACTCTAATAGTATAAAATACATGTATAATAGTACAGTAAAAATACCACTGTAACCCTAAAAAATTACAAATATTATTAAGTGTCATGTGAATTTAGTCATTAATCAGTTATTCCTCCTATATGCATCCCTAATAAATAGCTGCTATGCGCTTAGTTGCACTCGTGTATTTCATAGGCTAACTGCTAACAACAACCTCTATCAAGAATTAATTATTAAAAAAAAAAAAAAAAAAAAAACCTTCAATAATTCTTTTGTGGGCTACAATCATCGTGCCACGTGTGAATTGGATATTACAAAAATTTGGAAACAAATGAAAATTCCCCCTTTAAACAAAATAATAAAATAAAAAATTAAAGTTAAAGGCTATGGATAAGCAAAATTTGGCTGATTTGTCAAACTTTCAACCTCCAAAATTATAGCAAAACCAAACCCAGTAGAGTTTTAGCACAGAAGAACACCAATTTTCAAAGAAAAAGAGAGAATTTTGCTTAAAAATGGAGGTGGGTATGTCTTTAAACCCTCTAATTAGACTACCATTGAAGTCAAACTCAAGAACAATTGATGAAACTTCATCAATTATCAGGCACTCTTTCATTTCTACAAGAACAAAAAGCCCAAAATTACAGAAAGGGCAAAATCTGCAATTTGTGGTGGAAGCCAAGGGTAAAAAGGGAATGAGTTCTCGTCTTCTTCAACGCCCTCCTCCTCCTCCTTTGCCCAAGATTGAAGATGATGGCAATCCTCGTTTTGTCATCTTCATTCGTATGGCCAATGTCTGCTCTTTCTCTCATCTTTGTTTTCAATTCTAATGTTTATGTTCTTTTGTTTTGAACCTTTTGTTTGTGCATCATGCTCTCGAGTTTATGATCTAAGCGTTGCGTGTTTGAGTTTTGTGTTTTTAATCTTAAAAAATACCAACTTCAACTGATTTCTTAGGTGGGTACTTGAAGTTTTCTTTTACTTCATACTGCATGTTATTAAGTGGGTGTGATGTCGTATCATGCTATCGAGTATAGGATCCAAGTGTTGCGTATTTGATTACTATGTGTGATAACCATGAAAGTTCACAAAATCCCAAGTGGGTACTTGAGTTTTTGCGTGAAGCCATCTAATTCTACAATTTTGTCAAGTTGGTGATTGGATACAACAACAACAAAGCCTTAGTACCAAAATAATTTGGAGTCGGCTAACATGAATCGTCATAAGAAACGGTCAATTGGTGATTGGATGTTTTGTAATTTTTGTGGTCATGATACTTTGTTTTTGAAGCATAGATGAAATTATGTTTAGGGAGGGAAAGGGTAGATTAATGATGCTATTAGACTTTATGGACAGGCTTGTTTGTAACCGTTGCAAGTTTTCAATTTTTAAAAATAAAAACAAGAGTTCTAAGTAGTAACTATGTATTGACTTCTTACCTAGTGATGAAGTGCCTATGTTACTCATAATCCAAGTGTAGGGAACGGCTATTTTAAGACAATTTTTCCGGATTTTGGCCTGATTGAAGTTACTTGTCGTACCAAAGTCCATGTATTGTGTATTTGACATTGGTACTTGAGGTTAAATGAAGAGTTGAAGTAACAACTAACAATCAAGTGTTCCCACTGAGGGGTTTCTAGGTTGTTCATTTCAAATGTTTGTGGTAATCGTTCTCATTGTTTGCCCATCTTGTGTCTTTTAAATCATGCTTGTTCATTTTTGTTGTCTTTTTATCAAATGATTGACATCATATATTGGGCAGGTTTACCTATGGTACCCTCTTAATCTAGTTACTGGTGGTACAACAGCAAAGATTATGGTTGCTGCAAAAGATAATTTCCTGGGGAAATACATTTACAAGGATACAATTGCTAGAAATCTTGCAGCAGTGGTTTATCGAGTAAGTTCTCTGATTATAGTCTTTGATGTCAAAATTAGCACTATTCCTGTTCAATTTGCATTTGATGTGTGAACTTTACAAGAACAAACAACAATAACAACCTTCTCGTGTGATTCATGTTGAGGCAAGGTTTGAGCAGGTCCAAATTTATACACATATATGAAGTATGAAAACTCTAGAGATATGTGAAGTGTATAATGAATGCACTTTCAACTTTTAAATATAACATGCATTTCTTATGGGTATAGATTGTTCATAAAGAATAATTGGGTATTCATAATGTACTACGCCAACTCTAAAAGCATGATGTAGTAAGTTTAGATAGTAAAATTGCAAGTCGCAAGTTGCTGGTCACTGAGGCACTTAAAGATTATTGAAAAGAGCAGTGGACAACTGGGGTGTCGTTTATTCTTCTTATTTTTTACTCTATATTCCTTTTTTATTGCCACATTGAATCTTTATTACCACAAACCTGAAGTAAAGCTAATGATGTTCAGGTACTTTAAGTAGGCAGAGATAAATCAGATTCTTATAGTTAGTCAGGAAGTAAGTTATCTGTCAAAGAAAGATTAGAAGATATTATACGTATTGCCAAACTTTTATGTTCCACTTGAATGGGCTTAGACGAGCTTATATTCTGCAGTTCTATCTATATATATGCCCTTCATATTGTGTCTTGTGTTTATGCAGATGATTATGCTCTCATATTTTTGTAATTGTTACTCTTTACTCCGTATCTATTTAGGTTTTTATTGATCGTGAAGAACCTGCTTCTCTTTTCCTTCTTACTTTTCTAGTTACTACCGCTGTTTTCCTAGTTTTGCCTATAAAACTGGATGCTGAAACATGTTCTGTGTCTTTTAGTATCTGTATACTTTCAAATTAGACTTTCCACATAGTCAGCAGGATTGCAACACTCACTCTTTATACATCTGAGGCGCATTTATTCAGATATGCCCCCCTGATACTTGTTATATGTGCTTGCAGGATGAGAAGGAGTTAATAAAGATTGCACAGAAGCAATTCCGTATTTTGAGGAACGCAACAGAATTCAGATATGGCTACAAGCTTGTTGTAATGTTTCTGCGGCCTTCACTTAGCTAGCTTGATTTCTCCTACTCAAATCATCCTTTTTCCTTTTATAGTTCGATGCAACTTTCTAAACCTTTTTACCTCAATGCATGAGTGTTAATTTTCTGATCATTGTTTATAAATGCAGGAAAATTGTGATATAAAAACGGCTCTTACTCCTAAAAATGTTATTGAGGTAACTTCTTGCTTTGTTATTATTTATTCTGTATTTCTGTTTTTTGAACAAAAAATAGAAGATAAATGGGTCTGAGAACATTGATGCTTGTTGGGACTTGACCCCAGATCCTGAAGTCAAGAGTAACAAGTCTTACTAAGCTGACAAAATCACGCTTAATTACTTCTTTTTCTGTATAACTAGAACAGACTTGTACTTTTAAAGATTTGATTTGAAAGTTTTTCATGTTTTGTGAGGGGGCCGGGCTGAATGTGTAGTGTTTGAAGTCGTCCAGTAGCTTATTCTATTTGTGATCTGTTACTGCTGCTGCTGCTGATGGAATTTCACTTCTCTGTTCAGCTGCCGACTCAAGATCAGCTCAAGACGGTGGTTGATAAGGTTAAAGACTTCTTTGGAGATGCGAAAGAATCCTTTGGTAAGCTAACAACATTAAACACAACCTCTGAAGAAGGGGCAGAAGATGCTTCAGCAGAAAAATCCAAGTGAGTGTAATTTGTTTGGGAAAGTGAGGGACATCGTATTATCTTCATGTGCATTTTTCCATGTTATTTGGTCGAAAGGTTGAAATGGATGTTATGAGTCCCGTGTAAAGGTGTAACACCGTGATATGAGGAGGCACAATGTCCTCCATGTATGAAAAAGGAGAGCAGCATTATAATATACAGTTTTTGGTTCTTGACGCTTTATCCTTGTAATTGCATCAACAGGCAAATGATCTCATTGTACTAATCTTGTAGAAAATTACAGAATTTTTCTTACTACAAAATTTCCCTTTATGTACATGCAGACTTGGTTAATTCTTTTTGTTATTGATGAAGTATGCTGAGATTGCTCTATTTATATTTCATCTTTCCACTAGTTCGACAAAGAATTGTGATAATGAATATGGATTATATAGTTTTTACGATTTTGTATCAATCTCTAATGCTAAATGACCCCGGAAAGCCTTAGTCTTTAGAGAATGACTGTCATACTTTTATGTTGTTCCTTAAAAAGAATAAATATATGAACCCATAAAGTTTTGTGAAACGATAAACATCGCCCGCAAATTACCATATAAAGCCCACAAATATGATTTGGTGTGACCATTATGCCCATTTTCTAAAATTGAAATAATCTCGGTTTAAAAAATGTGGAGCCGTACTGGCTCGCCGGGGGAGACCGTAGGGCAGGCCGGAGATGCGGGGGACGCCGGAGGTACGTCGTCGTCGACGGAAAACGAGGTAAGTCACCGTTAAAATTCACGGTTTACCGTCGGAGTGGCTCCGGCGCCTAGGATGGACGCCCAAACCGTAGCCTGGACGTCCAAGCCAGACGCCAGAACCACCAGAGTGGCGTCCAGCCCAGACGCCCAGACCACCAGACTGGCGTCCTGGGCAGGCGCCACTCTACTGGCTGAGGCGGCCCTGCCAGGCGCCAGTCCAGTGGCTGTGGCAGCCCTGGCAGACGCCACCCTTATAAATTAATTTTTTTTTTCTTTTTTGATTTTGTTGTTTTTTATTTATTTTTATTTTTTTAAAAAAAAATCGAAAATGATACAGCGGAGGTGACTCATCTTTTCCTTGTGCATCCTGATTGTGCTGATATGATCAAGTCTTGGCCATTTGTGATTTTGATCGACTCAACGTACAAGACAAACAAGTACAAGTTCCCACTGGTTGAGATCATGGGGATGACTCCAACGAACCAGAACTTTCTGATTGGTCATGCAATCATCAAGGATGAGACGGCTCCAAGTTATTATTGGGTGTTGGAGAAGCTGAGAAACTACATCGGGCCTAATGTTCATCCAGCAGCCATCGTCAGCGACTGTGAGGGAGGTCTCTTTGCCCCCATAGCAGAGCTGTTTCCCGAATCGAACCACTTATTGTGCACATGGCACATCAACAACTGCGTGAAAGTGAAAGCCTACAACCTTTTCAAGAAGAATTTGGAAATGGCAGAGAGATTGGTGAATGGTAAGTGGCGGAAGATCCTACAGGCTACCACAGAGGAAGCGTATGAGCGAGCATTGGCTAACTTCAGGGATTCGTACCAGTGGTGTCCGGCACTGGTGGACTATGTGATGCAGCAATGAGTCCCTCACAGGGAAAAGTTTGTCAAATATTGGACAAACCAGGTACTTCATTTTGGGAACACTACAACATGTAGTGTTGAGAGCGCTCATAGAGCTACCAAGGACTGGATTGATTCATCGACCGCTGCTTTGGATACACTGTTCGATAGACTTAACAAGTCAATTGAAACTCAGAAGAACGACATCAGGAACTCTCTAGAGGACTCCAGACGACGACATGGTACGATGTATAGCCATTTTATATTTAAGATTCTCCATGGTCGTGTGTCGCACTACTGCTTGGGGTTGATTCTCACTGAGCTGAACAGGATGAGGGACTTGGCTGACGAAGTGTATGCTCGGTGTGGGTGTGCTATTTCAGTAACTCATGGATTACCTTGCGCATGCACCATTCACCGCGTCCCGGTCATGATATCCGGCCATTGCACGACGTAGTCCCTCGACGATGCAGGTCGGACCGCCTTCATCGGGCATGCCGGGGGAGGAGGGACAACTTGGACAAATCCAAGCTGGCGAAGACAACGCTGGGGCATGTACGCCTCGACGATCTCTACGAGCTGAGGCCGAAATACCACGGGATCTGACATGTCTATGCCCCGACCTCTCCACTGAATAGCTTCTACTAAGAAGCTCTACATTCTTCCCCGCACCATGACGACCCAGTGAATTCTACACAAAATTTTAAAATATATAAACATACAAAAATTTATACGAAAAATAGCTACCACTACCCAAATCAAATAAACTAAAAACATACAAATAATTGTAAACAAAATATAAACATAGAAAAAATACAACAAAATTGAAAAAATTTATAAAAATAAACAACAAAATATAAAAACAATTCAAAAATATATTACACAAAATAAAAAATAAAAAAATAAAAACAATATTTTAAAACAAATATAAAAAAAAAGGGGGGGGCGCCTTGGCTGGACGCCCAGCGAGCGGTGGTGGCGCTAGCTGCAGACGCCGCCACCAGTGGGCTGGCGCCTGGGCTGGACGCCACAGCCACGGCTGCGGCGCCTTGAATAAACGCCACAACCGTGGCTATGGCGTCCAGCCCAGGCGCCAGCCTACTGGTGGCGGCGTCTGCAGCTGGCGCCACCACCGCTTGCTGGGCGTCCAGCCAGGGCGCCCCACCTCCGTTACGGCGGTTTTTCCTTTTTTTTTTTTTTTTTTTTTTTTACAAATTGTACCTTGCCTCCTTGGGACCTCCTTCCCTCCGCCAATTCCTTGCCTTGCCGCCTCGACATTGCCGTTGTTTGAATTTTATTTTTTTTAGAGAGGTTGAAAGAAGATGAGCGATGAGAGTGTGAGTGATGAGAGTGTGAGTGTTTTTTTTTAGGTCAAGGGCAATATTGTCAAACCAAGTGAATTTTGTGGGCTTTATGTAGTAATTTGTGGGCGATGTTTAACAAATCCCAAAGTTTTGGCCACTCCAATGATAAACTCTATTTCCTCATCTTTGAGAGGAGTTTGATAAAATTACTACCATAATTAAATAATACTAGTAAAAAATAAAATAAAATTATATTCATCAATAAATCAATAAATCTTGTATACTTGTATAACAGTAGCATATATGTGCATCATCTTCAAATCACATAAAAGTCGAGAACATTATTGTAGAGTCGTTTGGTCAATAATTAAAAGATTTTCGCTTAATCGTCGAAATAACTAAGAACAATGATTTTACACAAAGTAATGTGCTCAATCAAATAACTCACTCTTTAAATATCGAGTTACATGGACAAGACAGTATCCTATAAACTACACGCGCAAAACAATTTCTTATGAACTACAAGTACAGAGTACTCATTTACATGTTCAAGTTCAACTTATAACGAGTCATAGTTTTGGGTTTTAAAAGAACCAAAAAAAATTAAAAAAAAAAACCTTATATTATAACTCCTGGTCCAGTGAGAAGAAAATAAACATTCATGAGAAGTCTAGAAGCTTGGAATGCACATGATTTTTACAGCAACTCCAAAAATCCAAAACCCAGAAAATCTATGCTTCCAGAAATGTCCACTAGAACCCCACTAAAAATACCTCTATAAATAGCATTTCATAAATTCAGAGTACTGTAACATTATTATATCAGCAAAATCCATCATTATCCAATTTCCCAAATCAACTTTTAATTCATCAATCAAACATGGCTCAATCACTTTCCCAATTTAGCAACACAATTCCCTTTACAAAATCATCAAACACTTTTTATCGGCATTCTTATATTTACCCAAAAATAATCCCAGATTTTCAGCAGAAAAAATCTTGCTTTAATGGAGGAATTAAAGCCATGAAAGCTGATCGAAGGGAAAATCCTGAGTATTTGCAGAAATCTGGGTTGAGGAGAAGAGAACCTTCTGCTGCTCCTATTGGTAATTTCATTTAAACCTTGATAAACCAACCTTTGTCCCATTCTCCCAAAATAGACCAACTTCTAAATCTTCTCAAAATAAATATAAGTTTGCATTTTTTTCTCCCATAATGAACCCAATAGGTTACCTTACTTGTTATATCAGGTAAAAATCCACTTGTCATTAAATCATTGGTTAAGTTTTTTTTTTTTAATTTTTTTTTTTTAATTTCGATAATTTAAAAAAAAAAAAAACCAAATCACCCTTTCCCATCACTACCAGCCCCCCTCCCCACCAGCCACCCCATCCCCTACCAACGGCCGGTGCCCAACCAATTCCCCTGACACTGACGACCTTCAACGCCGCCGGAATTATCGCCACTTACACCTTCACCACCATCACTTCCACCCACTGCACCACCACCTATGTACACCACCAGCAACGAACAACCACCACAAAAACCAACATACCAACCACCGAAATCACCATACCAACTAACGAAACTACCATACCAACCCACCGAAAACACCATACCACCAAGATCCAAAAACCCACTTCTTTCTTTCCCGAAACCTGCCATAATCGTCCTCTCACCACCACCAAGATTCGAAACCGACCCCACCGAAACCCTTAATTTCTCAATCTTCCAATTCTTCTTTCTTTTTACATCAATTTCTTACTTTTTTTCGGTTTAGGGATTGTCGGTTTGGGGGTTTCATGGGGAACGGGGTGTGGTCGGAAAATGCAGTGGAAAGGGAGGGGATGGTCGAAAATGGGAGGTTGTGGGGGAGGGGGAGTGGTGGCCGAAAAGGGAAGAGAAGTGGAGGAGGGGGTGGTGGGGTGAGGGGAGAGTGGTTTTTTTTTTAATTATTTTGTTGATTTGAAAAGATGGTTAAAGGTTTTTGATTAAAAAAAAATAATTAAAGGAAATTTAAAAAATGACTGATCATTTGGGGAAAAAAATGTTAACTTATGTTTATTTTAGGAAGATTGAAAGTTGGTCCATTGTGGGAGAATGAGACAAAGATTGGTCTGTTGTTAAATTTTCCTTTCAATTATAGCCCCATAAAATGTGTTTTGATTCAATGTGTCCAAACTATGTAATAATTTTGAGCTAGAACTATATGTAAAATGCAATCTTAGAACTATGAATTTGTACGTAAACTGTAATTAGGCGGTATCTTACACTGAATTTGTTACCAATTTCAGGGTTATGGGATAGGTTTCCATCTGCTAGAACAGTGCAACAAATGTTGGATACAATGGACAGGATGATGGAAGAGCCGGTTGCATACAACAGCAATTGGCAATCGCCTCTGTCCAACAACGGAGGTGAGTATGTGCGTGGGCGTACACCATGGGAGATTAAAGAAACTGAGGGTGCATATAAGCTGAGGTTTGACATGCCGGGAATGACTAAAGAAGATGTCAAGCTTTGGGTGGAGGAGAAAATGCTAGTTATCAAGGCCGAGAAGGTGTCCAAAAGTAAGGATGGTCAAGAGAATGGTGCAGTGGAAAATGAAGGAGATTGGCCTGCCAAGAGCTTTGGTAGGTATAGTACCCGGATTGCGTTGCCAGAGAACATTGATTTTGAGAAGATCAAAGCTGAAGTAAAAGACGGTGTGTTGTATATAACGATTCCAAAAGCTAGTATTAGTAGCAAGGTGTTGAGCATCAATGTTGAATAGTGGATTGCTTTGTTGGGTTAACATGATCCACCCTCTTGTATTAATTGATTGTAAATGCTAGTGTTTAGCAAGCATGCTACTAGAAGTATGAAATACATGTAGTAAAAGATATAGCTCATATGTGTTATGGTTGATTGAGATAATGAACACATTGAGCAGTGCAAGTAATTCTATGTAGTAATTTTTGTCTCATTAGTACTAGTAACATATTCACTACTACTTTTAGAATGGAGGATTAATTCTATATGTATCTTAATTGTCTCTTTTATTATTATTTTCTTGATTTAAATATAGAGTTGGTAAAAGTTGAATCGATATGATTAATACGATTAGAGAGGGCATACAATAAGCAAGCTAATGTTGATTCCATTTCAATTAGTTTACAAAAATAGGTCAATGAGAGTTTTACCTATAGAGGATAGTGACTTGACACGTCTTAGAGGCATATTTGGAGAAGCAAGGCATGAGCATGATCCAAGGCAAGAAGCAGGAGAAGCAAGGTACATGGCTAAGGTAGGAGACTTTAGACATGATCACAAAGGATGCAATGTCATGAACCAAGGCATGAATAAGATATCTGGTCACTAAATACGCCTCTCGGGGTTACTTGTGAGCTATGGGAAGTGTATTGATGCCAATCATCTTCGATTTTGAAAATGATCTTGAAATTAAATTGAAGGTTATAATACACAAATTGGAGGCTAAGGAGGTTGATCCTTCATATGGCAGTACTTGGTCACTAAATAGGCCTCTCGGGGTTACTTGGGAGCAGAGATACAAGCAGCACTCTATGGTCTTCAGATGGCAGTAGACATGGCATAAGGAGGCTAATCCTTCAGATGGATAATGTGGCATGTGTTGAAGCTATTAAAAGCGATGAGCAGCAAGGAGGCGAGTGTGTGCATATTCTCAGCGAGTGTCGTAGTTTGTCTAGAGTATTTGGTAATAATTTCCATGTTTTTCATTGTTTTAGGGAGGGGAATAAAGTGGCTGATGTGCTAGCCAATTTAGGGGTAGTGCAAGAGGATCGAGTGACTTATTACAATGAGCCTGCTATCGAAATAAGGCACATCCTTAGGGAGGACGTTATAGGAGTGGCGTTGCCATTTTAATTGCTTTAATTGTGTTTGTTTTTTCGGGCTTGGCCCTCATTTGCACACCAAAAAAAAAAAAAAAAAAACCACACAAATTGGAGATATTTGAATATTTTCAAATGGTTGGGGATGCATCTTGAGACTACCAAAAGTAGTTTTGAACCATTTATGTCTACTAGTTGGCCACGAAGCGACCTTGGCACCTCAAATAAAGATACATTTTTTGTATCTCAAAATGACATTTTTGTAAATATGAAAATCAATTATATGAATTTTTAAAATATTTTTTTTGTCCTTTTCTCTTCTTCCTGCTCATCTTCTCCATCCTCCATCTTCTTCCTGCTTTTCTCCATCTTCATTGTAGTAGCTTGTGAACCATTACTTTCACCACCATATTTTCGGCGGCTTCACGACCGAATTAAACTAAAACCCTAACTGAAAAAGGGGGAGAAGAAGGGTATGGCTAACCCAGGGGAGGATTGCGTCCTTTTCCATTGAAGATCTTTGCCATGTTCGATTTACCCATTGAAGTTTTTTACTTTCTCCATACATGTTTTTAATTCTCCATCAAAAACTTTTGGTTTTGTTTGAAAATAGAGATTTTTTAGACAAAATTACAACATTAACTCCACCATTAACCTGCAAAATGACCATATTTTCCTGTTGAGATGGTTCAGCGTATCTCTAGTTGAGTAGCATGAATTTTCTCATTGGCCACATATAAGCCTAAGTGACCTTGAGTAAATGATGGATGACGTGTTCGTAACAAGCAAAATCATTAGTTAAGAAGTGAAAATAGATGGATGTAATAAGGAGATTTTGACTGCAATCTATTTGTGATTAGAATATTTTGGCTCTAATCTTCCTCTAATAGTTCAAAGGGAGAAGTTGAATTGGCATATATCATAAAACGTCAATAATCATTTAAGATCATTTAAGATGTAAGCATGAATTTGTTGGATATTAGCCGTACATAATTCTCTATTGTTAAAGATTTAAGCATTAATTAAACGTAAAGAAATCACCAAATCTAGCTCATAATCGCTTGTCCAAGTCAAATAAAATATACACTATGATTATGATTACATTTTATGAAATTAAATAGCACCAACGGTCTTTTTTGGACTGAGGTGACCTCAACTTCAGAAAGGTCCAAAATCTTGACTATCAACTAAAAATTGTACCTAGCCGTTTTAAAAAAAATTGTACCTAGCCGTTGGAAACAACTGTTATAGACTGAATTTGGCGCCTGGGTAGATTCGCCTTAAACAAATTAGAATTTTGTAATAGGAAGAAGGTTGTTTAAAGGAGTAAAAAGTTATAATTTAGCTTTTAATTTTCTTGTTTGCTTATAATCACAATAAAGAAAATATTTATATAATCATGTGTAGAGTATATGAGTAGTTAAATGTGAAGAAATACCAAGAGATAGGGTTAAAAAAAAAAAACAAAAAAAAAAACCAAGAGAGATATACTCGAGTATATAATAGATTTTATTTTATTTTTATTTTTTTTACACCCTATAATAGATGCTTTATGAGGAATTTATAACTTGCTTATCTATACATCAATCACATTTATCTTGTTGGATTTACTTTAGCCAATTATAATTTTAATTTTAGATTTTCTCAATAATACAAGATACTTCTCAAATTTAGTAAGTTGAACTTTAAAGATACACAATATTATCTCTAATGACAATATGACATTATCTCTAATGACATCTATATCGAGAAATTGATAGCAAAATTAGTACTCATCTTTGTAATATTGTGCATAATAATAAATTTTAAAATGTTAAATCCTTCATATTGATGTCCGTTAAATGAGTTGATTAGCATTGTATTAATCCAAAAATAACAGCCATTTAATATACTGTATGATACTCCGTATTTGAGGTGCATCTTTGTTCATATAGTAAATTATTTTTACAAGGTACAAAAGCAAACATGTAACTACATTGAATAATGTGTATTAAGTCATAATTCGCCAAGTTAACACAATTTTGAGCTATTATTTGATGCACAACACTTTACCTTTGTAAATTATGGAGTATAAAACGTATTATACTTTTTAGTATTTATTTATTTATTTATTTTTAAAGATAAGATGAAGGACTCTATTGAACGGGCACCTCTCACAGGTTTAGCCAGTTTAACTCCGCAAGTAGACTGGACCGAAAACCGAAAAATTGAATTTCAAGAACTGAAGATTGGACCGATTAAGCTAGGACCGAACCTAGACCGGACCGAAAAAATCGGTCCAAAATCCGAACCGGACCGATTTGGACCGATTTTAGAATTTTTATAAAAAAATTTCTAAAATTTTAATTAATATATGGAAAACTCAAAAAAAAAAAAAGGAAAAACAATATTTTAACGTTTTTTTTGTATGTTTAGTACAAAAAAAGCTTATATGACTAAATTTTTCCAAGCTTGTTAAGGAAAATCTTAATCATTATTAAAGGTTTTCTGTATAATTTTAAGCGAAAAACCGGTCCGATCCAAGACCGGTTTTGTATAGGGTTTTGGACCGGACCGGAAAAATAAATTTCTCGGCCCGGAGACCGGACCGATTAATTTGGTCCGGTCCGGACCAATTTTTGTACACCCCTAATTACGAGTACATTGTAATTTTGTATAGGATAAAGCCCAAAGGGTGAATCGAGTAGAACACCAAAAAAAAATATCGTTAAGATTTTTCCTCAATTTTCTATTAAAAATACCAATATCAATTTTATAATTCTTTATTTTCATTTTTATTTGTGAGAGAATCAATTTAATTTCATTACCAAATACTCCTTTTTTTTTTTAATAGACTATAATTTCATTACCAATAAATTATCATAATCAAGTAAAATTTTAATAACATACTAATATTTTATTCTTTTCATTTAAACAAATTTTAATAGATTTTCAAACAAGATAAATCTTCTACGAGTATTATTAATTTTTTTTTTTGAAGGGATTCTACGAGTATTATTTTATTAAAAAAAACTTATTTTTTACTAAAGATTACGAAGTATATTATAAAGAATGAGATGTGAGACTCTGAGACCATATTCTCTTACAAATCATGAGAATCAAACCCCTAACAACCCGTTTTAGTTTATTGTATTAAAAAGTTGTAAGAAAAAGAGCTACTACTATAAATTGCAAAAAACAATAAGCTACCAAAAATACTAAAAAAGGTCACTTTTTCCCAAAAAAAAGTTGCACATCTGGGCTCTACCCTGCTCCTCAGCAAATTCAAATTTAAAACTATACAGAATTTAGCATCCCCTAAATTTTATTTTATTTCCCAGAAAATTTAACATTTGTAACCGTTTTCTTCACCCACTCTCCAATTTTCTCTCTCTAAAACACAGAGCAAAAATCAATGGCGGAATCAGCTTGTTTAAGACGTTCATTTTCTAATCCTTCTGAAACTTCCCATGATTTTTCAGAGGTTTGTTTGTTCATTTCTATCCCAGATAACCTACATTTTAATTTTAATTATATTTCAGCTGATTCTTATTAATTTTTCTTGAATTCTAAACTGGGTTTTGTTTTTCTGCTTATTTTTGCCCATTTATGAACTGGGGTTTTGTATTTAAGCTCAAATTTGTTGTTGTTTCATAATTTCTAATTTTTGCTGTTAATCTTCTCTTGCTGCATTATATATTTATATGGGTGCTTCAATTTATTATGGTATTTTCAATGTAATTGCTTGAATTTGTACTTAGAAGCTAAAATTATTATGTTTTCAATTGGTTGAAAGTGTGGGTAGTAATTTGTTGTAATAGTATTTGAATTAGCTTAGAAGTATAATATAATGCTTGAGTTCTGAAGGAGATCTGTGTTGCGTATGCTTTAGTATGAAGTATGTACACTCACTAAATGATTCCGAATTATAGTATGGTACAAATTTGTTGGGTTTGCAATAAGAGAATTTAAGTTGATTTAAGTGTACTTTTTGTTTAGTTTTTACAAAGATGGGTTTGCAAGAGCATATAGCACTAGATCGAAGTGAATGGAAGATGACAATCTTTGTGGATGACCCCGGGAGATAAATTCTTGGTTCATGTAGCCGACCCCATACTTTTGGGATTAAGGCTTTGGTATTGTTGTTGTTGTTGTTAGTTTGTTAGTTAG